ATCACCCAGGCCTGCACGATGGCGGCTTCCAGGAGCAGCTCCCGGTCCAGCTGTTTCAGCGCCCAACGCGGGCCACATGGGGCCTGTCTGACCGGCGGGTCTGCGGACTCGGCGGAGACGTCGAACCGGATATACCGGTGGTCGGAGTACGTCTCCACCTCCTCCATGACGCGCCAGCCAACAATACGCGGTGACAGAGCAGGGCTGGCGAACGAGATGTCCACCACCGACTCGCCCTGCATCCGCACACACGTGGGGACAGAACCCCGGTTCAGGACGACTAGGCCTGTCTCAAGGGCCCAGTCTTCCACCATCCTACCCCGGACGTCGGTGAACCGGGAACCCCAAGCCAAGTTTTTGGCGTTGAAGTCCCCGAGGACGAGCACGGGGAGGGAACGGAACCCGACGACGACAGTGACCAACTCCCTCAAGGAGTTGTGGAACTCGGCGAGAGTTCGGTTCGGAGAGAAGTACACGCCCACCACAGCGAGCTCTCCGAACCGTGCTGCGACACAACCCCGGCCTCTTTGAGCAGCCTCAAGAGTCGGGGTACCGGCGGCGGCCGACGAGATGATGGTCACCGAGCCGTCCAGGTCCGCCACCCAGTGATCCCTGGGCAGGACAAAGTACGGCTCGGAGACCACGGCGACATTGATCGACCACTGCGCCATGCTCTGGAGCAGGAGATCCTGAGCAGCGGCGCAGTGGTTGATGTTCGCCTGGAGGAGGCGGAATGGGGCCATTATTGGCAGTCCATTCCGATCTCCTCAGTGGCGGCAGCGGCGACTGCGGTGGCAGTGGCGGCGGCGGCGGCGGAAACGGCAGGGGCGGCGGAGGGCCTGCCTTTGCCCTTGGGTTTGGCGGGAGGGGAGCAGCCTTTGCTCCCGACCCGGTGATTGGCCGGCTTGCCAGCCGCCGCACATGCATTGCAGTGCAGCGGGGCGGAGCACGAGCCGGCCTTGTGACCGGGCCGACCGCAGCGGAAGCAACAGTCGCTGCGGTCCACCTCCGAGGTGCATTTGACACTCACGTGCTCCCCCACGTGACAGCGGTAGCACCTCAGAGGCCGGGTCTCGAGCAGCTTGACCTGCGCCGAGACCCATCCCACCAAGAGCCTTTTGCCCTCCTTCAGCTTCTTGGCCGCTGTGACGGGGCAGCTGACCACAACAGTGCGCAGCCCCGAGTTGTCCGGGCGGATGGCGCCTGCCTTAACTTGGTCAGCAGGGCACCCTCCCGTCCTGGCCACAGCGGCCACCACCTCACTCTCCGTTACGGAGTCGTCCAGGCCCAAGATCCTGACATCCAGGCATTTGGTTGGCCTGGACACGCGGGCCTCGTCCGCACCGAGGCACGCCCTAAGCCTCTCGGCCAGGGCGTCGGCCGATGGGCCGCTGGTCGCGCCGGGGACCTCCAAAAGACGGGCTCCGGTAGCGGTCACCTTGACCGCGAACCCGTCTGGCGCCCCGAACTCCGCAGGAGATACCGCCCCCTTCAATTTGGCGAGGACGTCGCCGTAAGTGACGCCCCTATTGACCGCCTCGGGCTGCAGCGTAATCACTACAGCCGCGGTCTTAGGGGCGAGGAGCAAGGCAGCAGCGCGTTTCTCCCTGCGCTGCTGCTGCCGTCGCTGCCGCTGCGCCTTTTGCGGCGCTTCCGGCCCTCCCTGGCGACTCTCCTCGCCTCGCCGGCGATTTGCCACCCGCCGCCGTCCTCCGCTCGCGGGGCGGGTTCCACCACCGCTGCCGCAACTCCAGCCTGCCGGGCTGGAGCGCCTCTCCTCTCCTTGCGCCCTGCGGGCGCTGGCGCCGTCGGCGCAGCTGGGGTCTGCGCCGGCGGGGGCGCCGAGGCCCTCGCTGGGGCAGCCGGTCGCGCCCTTGCCGGCGGTTGGGAGCTGCGGCTAGCCTGACCCGAGGTCGAAGGCTTGGCCGCAGCGGCCGCGTACGACCGCGGGACCGCGGGGGCGACCTGACTCGCCGCGAGTGGGGGGCGCAAGAGCCTGCCCTCCAGCACGTCGAAACGTCGCTGGAAGGCAGCCAACTCCGCCCGCAGCAGTCCGACTACGTCGGCCTCCGCCGGGGGCTGGGGGCGACTGCCGCGAGCAGCGGCGAGCTCGGCCCTGGCCGTCCGCAGCTCGGCCTCCAGAGCCGCATTGGAGGCTGCCAAGCGCGCCAGCTCTCGCCGCATCTCGGCCAGCTCGGAGCGCACCTTTCCCGCAGTGGGCACCGCACACTGCTCCAAGGCCGCCTCCGTTATTGTGGCCGCCGCCGCCCTGAGGAGGCGGAGCCTAACCGGCTGGGATTTCCCCATCGCCAGCTTGTAGAGCTCCGCCGTAATGGCCTGTTGGAGGCCCCCGGAGCAGCTCTCGCTCTCAGAGCCGCGCTCGCCCTCCGACATCTCCACGCCGGACATCTCGGCCGCAGAGGACTCCGAGCGGGCAGCACTTGAGAGAGCCCTGCCCTCCGCGGCCAGCTGCTCGGCTGACTCCGCGCAGGCAGCTGGTGCCGGTTTCCGGCGACCGCTGCCCTTGCCGCCCCTACCCCGCGCTGCCGTGGGGACCTTGGGGGGAGGCGCCTCCTGAGCGCCGGAGGACGGGGACAAACTGTCCTCCTCCAGCCTGGGGCGCTTGAACGTCCCCGTCGCGCGGCGGCGTGAGCCTTTCGAGCTCACGCTCAGCCGCTCCGCCAATGTTGTGTCGGACTCTGAGTCCGACCCCCTTCTATAGACTCCCGTGTGTGGGGCCTGCTGGACGAGTCCAGCGCCTCACCACGAGTCCCGGAGCCACTTGGGCTCCCTTCTCCTGCTACTGCAGGCGAGCCAAGCTCACCCGCACTCTCCTCCTCCGGTTGTGTGGTTTTTTTTAATTTGTTGTTCACACTCCATAAAGTTCCCACGAGTATGGGGGAAATATTCGGTCCACCCAGGCAGTGCCCCCTGTACCTGGGTAAGTGTTCATTTGTTTCCCAACTAGAGGTTCCACTGGTCCCCTAGCTGGGGGTGCGCTCGCGACTGACACTACTCCTCAGCCATGCATACTCTCGCCGCGCACCAGAACTTAGTATTGGAGGAATTTTTTATAGAGGTTATCTTCCTCGCGGTCCGGGCGACCAAGCCAAGACCCTCGTCCCGTTCAGAGTCACAAAACATGACCGTGACCTCCTTACGGATTACGATATCGACGGCTGCAATCGGGGACAGCTTGTGTCCCGATGCTGCTCGCTGGCAGGGTGAGTGCACAACGAGCACCGCCATTGCCTCTCCGCCACGCTCTCTGCTATGTCCAGAGAGACGGGCGGAGAAGCGCCCCTCGGAAGCGCGGGCTATGAGCCTCCGCACACAGCCCGCCGCCTCCAGAACCCTATTGGGTTCGCCCGCCCAGTCCAGAAGTCTGCTGCGGGCGACAGTCACTCCAACCTTATCACCCCCGCTAGGGAGACTGTCGCCCGCACCCAGGGTGCACCACGGGGAGGTCTTCTGGCACCGCACCCCAATTAAAGAACGATAGGTTGCGGTCACCGGTGTCCTCGCGGTGTTTGACAGTTTAAATGTGTGGGCGTCGTTGGTTATTTGGTAAAAAGTTATTGGTTTTTTGAAAATTTCGGTGTTATGATATTAAGAAAAACAGTGCATAGCAAATTGTTATAACAAATGAGAATTGTTATGTATGTACATAATACAACAACATGAGTATATAACAATTATAACCATCTACGATATTTATTTTAATTTTCCTGTGTTTATGTCTAATTAGGACATAATTATTATGATGATAATTATCTAAAGAATAAACAAGTTTTTTTCAAATTGGCCTAAATTTCTCATTGGCCGAGTGGCCGCAAGTGTGACTATTTATGTTATCTTTATATATATAATTCTGCTGTACGTGTGTATGTTATTGAACTCTTCCTAAACGGATTGACCGATTTAAATGATTTTTTTTCTGTATGCGTTTGAGTGGCGCCCTGGATGGTTTAGATTCACAAATCAGGCCGGCAGATAGCGCTGCAGTCGGTTCCTAGGTTATTTATCTATACTTATTATATTATATGCAGTATAACGTCTGTCAGGTTTGCTAGTGATAAGTAAAAATTGAAATTCATTACTTAGTATTAGTTTTCTAAATTATGACATCTCCGTCTCTAAACCGACCGTTTTATACTACGAACTCACAGAAAACCGACGTGAAACAACGCTTGCATTATTTCGTCGCGCGTGTGAGGTTACCGGAGGTCCAATAACCTCTAGGTAATCTCTCAAAACATTGAATCTCCAACAAAAATTCAATCCCTAATCCCCAAAAGGTCGGTAACGCACTTCTAACGCTTCTGGTGTTCCGGGCGTCCATGGGCGGACCCGATTACTTACCATCAGGTGATCCGTCTGCTCGCTTACCAGTTTATTACATTAAAAGAAGAATACACACTTACTCACGTATCTATTAAGTCTTTACTTACTACAGCTCAGTAAAACAACGATGTTTAACAAATCCATTGTTTAATTAAAAGCCTTATCCATACAATTCTCCACTGAATTTTCCATTCACATATAAGCTTATGGCAGACAATGCTACTGTTCAGTTGCATTATGTTACGCGGCGCGGTCTCATTGACCCATAAACAAACATTCATGCATATTTTATAGCTATATGTCAAAAAATCCAATAATCCATTATGGATACATAAAACAGCAAAGTAACCCATTTATGGATTCAATAACATAAAGTGACATAATAAAAACGGTGTTCGATTTTTAAAAATTAGAATTGGAACGTTTATGGATTTATGAAAATAAAGTGAGATAATAAAAAATAGTGTTCGATTTTTGAAATTGTAATTCGAACGGGTAGGTATTGTGTGTGAATTTTTATAAGAATAATATAAACGTGTAACCCAAGTTACTAAATAATAATTATGATTTATGTGAATTATAGTGGTGTGGACCAAAGTGGATTTTATGGAATAATTGGATTTATTGGATGATGCAAATGCTAAAGTGTTGTGAAAATGAATTTGTGGACGACATTGTTTTTGTTTTGTCATTTTGTTTGTGTTGTCATCGGATCCAGGGTTATACTTGTGGAGAATGCACCGAGTATGTACCTATTGTTATAAATTTATTTTTAGTCCATAGCTACAGATACATAAAATTCTAGTGTCTGTTTGTAATATTGAAACAATCGGTTTGTACTACAAGCATATGAATATGCATACGATACATGTGCCAAAATAACACATTTTCTAATTTTTGTCAGTCTACCTGTCTCGTTGGCCGGGTAGTCGCAAGTGCGACTGCCGGGCAAGGGGTCTCGGGTTCGATTCCCGGGTCGGGCAAAGTACTACTGAGCTTTTATAAATTCTCAGTAGTAGCACGGAGTCTGGAATTGTGCCCGGTATATGGCAATAGACTCACCCTCTATTACATGGGACTCATAACATAAATAGTGAAAAGTGAGTGTTACATTGCACAGTAGCATAATGTACACCTCTGGGGATAAAAGGCGTGATGTTATGATATGTTCTATCTGCCGGTTTGTACTGGTTAATCTCTGAAATGACTGAACCGATTTGGATGGACTCCCTCGTCTGTTGAGTGGCCGCAAGCACTGAGGAAGAGGATTCTGTTCCCGACTATGCATTATTCAGGCTTCAGTTTTTCAGTCTGTTGTAAGCTCGGAATTTGAAATTGTGCCCGGTGAATGGCAATAGTCTAACCCTCAAATGTGTCGCGGAGAACCTAACGGGTAACCGGGGCTCCAGCTCGGCTTATAAAAACTCAGTAACATTTTGCTCGACCCGGGAATCGAACCCGAGACCCCTTGACTGGTAGTCGCACTTGCGACCACACAGCCAACGAGGCAGTCTGATTATGTTATGTTCATAAGATATTTTTATCACTTCAATCTGTCTTGTTTATGAGTATAATTATGTGTAATTTCTGTCACCATTACGACACGCTTGACAGCTTGTTGTGTCTTCTCTGTACCAGGGGTCAAATTCAGCGCATAACTGTCGGTTTTCATAAAAAAATCTAGGTATAAAACACTAAGTATTGTAAACTTAGTCTGTGCCTAAATGTCGGTATGTACCTAAGTCTAGTCTGTGCCCTAAGTGTCGTGGTGGCCCGGAGGTTTAAGACGCCCGCTTCTAATGCATGAGTGCGGGTTTAAAACCTACCAACGGCAAGTACCGATGTGACTTTTTCCAAGTTATATGTACTTATACCTGCACCAACCATGCCATCTTATCTTATTCTTAAATTTATGACTGAAAAGTAAAGAACTTGTGTATAAAAGTTGTTGTTATTATTTTGCTACTTCTACTTGAATAATCTCTATGCGTTTTGGTCACACCCGTAACGGGTATTTGTAATTGCACTTGGTCCTCGTATACCCCATATACAGCAGTAGGCTTTTCCCATTGGACGCATAAATATAACATAAATACTCGGTGAACCTATTGCCATATAACGGGCCCATTTCCAGACTCCGTGCTACTACTGAGATTTTTTTTTACCCAGTAATACTTTGCCCGACCCGGGAATCGAACCCGAGACCCCTTGCCCGGCCGTCGCACTTACGACCACTCGGCCAACGAAGCAGTCAAAGGCAGTCAAAAAACGATGTTGATCTATATGAGTAAAATTGTAATTATTTTTTCATATTTCATTAAAGATAAAGATAAAGATAAAGACATTTATTTGCGCAAAACATGGTATACAAAGATGTTATTGTTACAATATAATAGATCATCATGTTTTGCTTAATAAATAAAGCATGCAAATTTTAACTTGAAACTTATTTTAACTACTTAACTTACACTCGTAGATTATACATTATTGTTTATGTTCAAAAAATTCCTTAATACTATAAAAATTATTTTCATTTAACCATATATATAATTTAATTTTAAATAGTCTGAGGTTAAGTGTTTTTAATGTTATCGGCAATTTATTAAATATTCGAACACACATACTTAGGCAGCTTTTATTATATTTTGTTAACTTAGGAAACTCCTCTAGTACTAGTCTGTGATGGTCGCGTCGCATTGGATTGAAAAATCTAAATAATTTATTTTTGACCCAGGAAAATGCCCAATTAACAAACGATTAAGAAAATATATCTTTCAAACGACACAATAGACAATTTGCAGGCCATGCAGAACTTGTTAAAGTTTTCATAAATAATTCAGTCAGTAGGTCATATTTATTTTTAATCCTGACTTAACGGGTTTAGACACAAGGTCGCTTTTTGCGAGGTTGTTTTTTGTAATTTCATTCTTAGAATCATTTGGTTTTTGTAATTAAGCATGAGTAATGTAAGGATGTACCAGTAAATGACGTCATCATTACTCGTTAGACTGATGATTATCTATACATCTATACTGATATTATAAAGAGGAAAGATTTCTCATCATCAACAGCCTATAAATGCCCACTGCTGAGCAAAGCCTCTTCTCACACGGAGAAGGTTAGAGCATTAATCACCACGCTTGCTCAATGTGGGTTGGCGATTTCAAACTTATAATTAGAAATTATAAGCCCAGGTTTCCTCACGATGTTTTTCCTTCACCGTTTGTCAGAGGTGTCTAAATAATCTTAGAAAGCACATATAACTCGGAAAAAGTCACATTGGTACTTGCCGTTGATAGGTTTCGAACCCGCACCCTCATGCATGAGAAGCAGGCGTCTTAAACCTCCGAGCCACCACGAAGAAAGATTTCTATTTCTACCTATTTTTGTATGTTTGTAATGAATAGGCTCAAAAAGTACTTACTAGGCAGATTTAAAAAATTCTTTCACCAATAGAATGCTACATTCTTCCAATTTGACATAGGCTACATTTCATTTTGAAAAAAATTAGGGATCCTTGGTAAAATTTGAACAATGTAACCGAAGGTGTAGAAAAATGAGTCTTAAAATGTCTTTCGTCGAATGCGCTGCCGAAACTATTAGCGATAGAACAAAATAATGTACAACAATATTGAAGAACATCATAATGTCTACAAAAAACTCCGCGGTAGCATATGTCCAACTATTGTAGTTATGTCACTACAACAATCCAAATTTCCAAAAATAAATAATTGTCTACCCCGTGCGAAGCCGGTACGGGCTGCTAGTTTATACATATATATAAAATTGTAGTGTCGGTTTTTTCATATTGAAATAACCGCTTATTATTACATGCATATAAAACATACAATGTACGCATATCAAAATACCAATCACAATTTTTATCTGTCTGTATATTTGTTCTGGCTAATCTCTGAAACAGCTGGACCGATTTTGAAGAGACTTTTATAGTCAGGATGTAGGTACTTACTAAGAAGTAACTTATACTGTTTTTTTTTTTGTATAAACGTCATATCTTTTGATCTTCGAAACTTGAGGGTTAGGCAGAGGTCCTAAAAGTAACAAGAACATTCACCACCAATGTTATGACTTTCATGTAATAAGGATTGAGCATATCGGGGTTACCTACAATGGAATATTCTCCAATATAATTTCGGATCTCTGACATTTACAAAGTTATTTTCTTATTTCATACACAAAAATATATAAAACTACACTACTACAATATTGCTCTATGCAATATTCTTATATGTATAGAGTAAATGAGAACGCGACGGGCTGTACGATCGGGTCTGGTTCTGGTCGGGCGGCGAGTCACCCGTGCTCAACGTCCGCAGGTCCGTGCTTACGGGTGGCCGGAGAAATTTGAACTATAATAGCTACCAACCGCCACTCTGTTTCTATTCGTAGTAGCGAAACAATTATGTGGCATACGCATGACTATTCAACATAAAAAATATTGTATTAATGCAAACCCATAGTTCCCCTGACTAAAGCATTCAAACTTCTTCGCTTGTCGTTTCCGTCCTTCGTTCATCTTCTTACCAAACACAAAAATATTTAATAATTTACACACTACATTCTGTATTTACCTGAACGTACGGCACATCGCGTTCCGCGCGCGCCTCAAAGAGCCATCAGACCACCACAGATGGGGCCCAACAGAGCCGATGCCGAACCGAACCTAACCTAACCTAACGGGTAACCGGGGCTCCGGCTCGACGTGCAGGAGAAGGAAGGAAGGGGTGGTTTTTAGTCAGTAAGAGTCTGACACTCCCTCCCACCTCACCCAGGTGGGAGCAGTCATTCGATGATTTTCCCCCCCCTTAAAAAAAACACACTCTGTATTTTGTATTTTCCCACACATAGTCACACATTTGCACACACGCACATTTAACACTCACACACTTTTTAACGCAGCAAATTTTTCTCCTATATATGCAAATTCTAATGGTTTAGATGTTATCGTGTCCAGTTGCGGGGGGCCAGGAGGCTCATAATACAAATCTCTGATTTAATTTGGGGCTCCTGTCTCCCTCCTATGTAAAAATGTTTCACTAAAGAAATTAGTATTATTATTTCAAATTATAAATATCCCTTACAGCATGTTTCCGCCGCGTCCTGGCCGGGAAGCGAGCACTGCGGAGTCATGTCAGGAAGGTGGTACCATGCGAGAGGCTGGAGGACTGCCGGAGGGAATGTGCCATGGAGAAGAGGTTCCCTTGCGAAAGCTTCAATTATAGGTGAGTGAGATTTGACCCTTCTTATTCTAGCTAAAGACTAACAAGCTCTGTAAATTTTTTAGTCTAAAGGTATCAGTACCTTTATACTAAACACTATGTTCTAAAATGTTAGATGTCGGGATGTTTCAAACCGGCTAGACAATTTGGCAATGCGTAGAGATGTAGCTTCGTTGTGCATTTTCTATCGCTTATACCTCGGGGAGTGCTCTGAGGAATTGTTTGACCTGATCCCTGCCGCATCTTTTCGCCATCGACCCTCACGACAGTATATACATCCCTATCATATAGATGGTTGGCAGGCCACAACTGTGCGCTTCTCACGTAGCCTTCTGCCTCGTACTGCAAAACTGTGGAATGATCTGTCGTCGGCGCTATTTCTGAACCGATACGACGTTCAAACCTTCAAGGAAAGAGCGTATTTCTTTTTAAAAGGCCGGCAACGCACCTGTGACTCCTCTAGTGTTACGGGTGTAGATGGGCGGCGCTGATCGCTTACCACCAGGTGATCCGTCTGCTCGTTTGCCTCCTATTCCATAAAAAACAATTGAGCATACTCAAAAATGTTCAAACATCAAACGCCGGTCGATTCGCAAGCATGCTTGAAATGGGTAAGCTAATATTCAGCAACATTTTTTTTTTATTGCATAAGCCGGTAAATGAGCAGACGGATCACCTGACGGTAAGCAATCGGCGTCGCCCATGGACACCTGGAACACTAGAGGCGTTACAAGTGTGTTACCGGCTCTTTGGGGATTAGGAGTTTGAGGATCCCTGAATCCCCAAGGATTCAGGGATTGGGGAGATTAGGGAAGGGGAGGGTAATTGGGCCTCCGGTAACCTCACTCACACGACGAAACACAACGCAAGCGTTGCTTCACGTCGGTTTTCTGCTCGGCCGTGGTATCACTCCGGTCGAGCCGGCCCATTCGTGCTGAAGCATGGCTCTCCCACACTTAAAAAATATAGACAAACAAAAACATTCCGACACACTTGCTTCTAAGTGACACGTGGAAGCATGGTATCGTGCTTGGAATTAGCATACGTAAAAGTACCTGTGGATTTTAGCAACTCGGCTCAAATGATTCTGTTCCCTGCATTAAAAAAGGGGGGCTTTGAAAACTATTCCTTTAATGAAACATTTTCATTGTTGCTTTGGGCTCAGAGCTAGCCATATACTGCGGTCCTGGCTCGGAGCAGGATTTGGAACGGAGTAATTTTTTTCATCATCATCATCATCATCATCAGCCTGTATTCGTCCACTGCTGCTTCAGTTATCTCATCCAACCACTGCCAGCCACCTTGCAGATGTCGTCACTCCACCTAGCTGGAGGGCGCCCTACACTGCGTTTGCCTAGACGCGGTCTCCACTCTAGAACACGTTTACCCCAACGGTTATCGGTTCTTCGACAAATGTGTTCCTCTTTTTTTTTACTTAGTATCAGTCCTGCCCTCTCACCTTACCCAGGGCGGGAGGAGTCATTTGACGATTCTTTATCCACAAGAGACAGTTATTCTTCATGTACCTAGGATGTGACGGACTCAGTGTCTCAGTGTTTTCATGGTTAATACTTAATCTAGATCCTAGCTTGCAGGAGCTACAGTAATCGGCCAAAAAGCCAAAGAAAATAGTACTGGCCTAAGACTGTTCTTACCTCTTGAGTACCGTCATTGTAGACACAATTGAAGAACAATAGGTTGCGGTCACCGGTGTCCTCGCGGTGTTTGACAGTTTAAAATGCAATTTGTGCTTGCAATTACCGAAACAGTTGACGAGTAATAAAATCTTAACTAAAACCAACATGCTGACATAGATACAAAGATAAATCTATATAGTAAAATAGCTCCGAATGTCTGTACGTCGTTCACACGCATTTTTCGCACAATTGTGAACATTTCCTGATTTTGTGACGACCTTAATAGTAAATTGTTACAACATTTTCGTTAATAACCCACTGTGTTGGTTTTTATGAAGTATTTGTACGATTTTGCAATCAGTCAGATTTGTAAAGTGTGGGTATACATGTGCATAATACTGGGTTTTAAAAAAAATCTCTCTTCTCTCTCTGTTTGTACTGGCTAATCTCTGAAATGGCTGGACTGATCGTACTAAGCTTTTATTGACAGGTAGTTGATGTACTAAGGAGTAACATAGGCTACATTTATTTTAAAAAGTTGAAACTTGATAAGGACATTTTTTAATTTCGTCATGGTCCGCCACATGTGACATGATTTTTAATATAGCAATGTTAGTTTCTTTACCATTTCACTTAAACTGTTCTACTGTGTTGATACATAGATAGGTTCTATCCCTTAGAAAAAAAAAGTTGTTCCAAAATATTCCACACGGATTTTTTTTAAGGGTGGAAAATCATCGAATGACTGCTCCCGCCTGGGTGAGACGGGAGGGAGTGTCAGACTCTTACTGACTAAAAACCACCCCGTTCCTTCTCCTGCACTTCGAGCCGGAGCCCCGGTAACCCGTTAGCTTCTCCGCGACATTTCACACGGATAAAGTTGATAGCAACAGCTAATCTTAATTAAAACACGAAATATTACCAAGAAATCGACTGCACGGTTGGTGCGGTGGCTGGGTAACCGGCTGCCGTGCAACGTGTCGCGGGTTCGATTCCCGCACGGGACAACACTTTGTGTGATCCACAAATTGTTGTTTCAGATCTGGGTGTCATTGTGTATGTGAACTTGTATGTTTGTAAATGCACCCACGACACAGGAGAAAATCCTAGTGTGGGGCAAAGTTTAAAAAAAAAATCAGTTAAAAATATAAGCAAACATCACAACTTCAAGCCATCTTTATCAAGTTTAAATCTGGACGTGGACCAGTAGCCACTCAGATCACTGAGAACAATTTTATCGTAACATCTTGAGTGAGGCTGGTACATCTTGTACTTAAGGCCCTTCTACACGGTGTGTAAGCAAGTAGGTTTCGACAGGGTTGCCGCGTTTAATGTGCACTGTTTTTGTTGAGTGACCTTGGGTATAGTGTATATGGAATTGTATCAAATTTTAGAATACCTACCTTTTTTAAAAAAAACTTTGCCTCACGCTTTGATTTTCTCTTTATATCTTCACTAGCTTTTACCCGCGGCTTCGCTCGCGTCACAAAAGGATAAAATGTAGCCTATGTGACACATACCAATACACACAGCGCCATCTATACCAACACTTTTGTTTTCAATCGGGAATATCAAATTTTTCCGCGATAAAAAGTACCCTATTATTTAATCCGAACTTCTAACTTTACGTCTGCAAAAATTCAAAGCAATCGGTTTAGTAGTTACGACGTGAAAGTGGAACAAACAAACAAACAAACAAACTCAATTTCCGATTTATAATATTAGTAACGATTGTATCAAATTTAAGAATATCTTTTTTTAAAAAAACGTTGCCTGTCGCTTTGATTTTCTCCTTGTATCTTCAAGGCCAGAGTGAATAAGTTGCTTATAGGACGAAGGACGACTAGCTCCATTGTAGACTTACCTGTACCATGGCTACCTACTACTACTACCAATTACTTGTGCCATCGCTTACGACCAGGCAAGATAGTGGTCAAACGTCGGTCCAGCAAATGTATAAAAAATATAAATAATATACATGATATCCAGACCCAAAACAACAATTTGCGTATCAAACAAAGAGTTGTTCCGTGCGAGAATCGAACCCGCTACACGTTGCGCGGTTGCCTAGCCACCGCCGTTGAGTAAACCTAATAATCCAATAATATTTTTATCGATATCAGGAAAGTGGTTTGATCAGAATAATGAACTTACACCTTCACAGAAGGCACCATTTAAACAGACTATGATTCATCTCCAAATAATGTAGCTCAAACAGAGACCTTAAGACTAACGCTTGTTTCTAGGGCTAGAGAACGAGCTGCTGTTTACATGTGAACATTAGATCATGACGATACCTAAGTACGTGTGTCGCATGGACAGTCACCGCTACCATCAGTTGACTGGACAATATCTTTACATGAGCTGCTGTTTACATGTGAACATTATCTCATGACGATACCTAAGTACGTGTGTCGCATGGACAGTCACCGCTACCATCAGTTGACTGGACAATATCTTTACATGAGCTGCTGTTTACATGTGAACATTATCTCATGACGATACCTAAGTACGTGTGTCGCCTGGACAGTCACCGCTACCATCAGTTGACTGGACAATCTCTTTACATGAGCTGCTGTTTACATGTGAACATTATCTCATGACGATACCTAAGTACGTGTGTCGCCTGGACAGTCACCGCTACCATCAGTTGACTGGACAATATCTTTACATGAGCTGCTGTTTACATGTGAACATTATCTCATGACGATACCTAAGTACGTGTGTCGCCTGGACAGTCACCGCTGCCATCAGTTGACTGGACAATCTCTTTACATGAGCTGCTGTTTACATGTGAACATTATCTCATGACGATACCTAAGTACGTGTGTCGCCTGGACAGTCACCGCTGCCATCAGTTGACTGGACAATCTCTTTACATGAGCTGCTGTTTACATGTGAACATTATCTCATGACGATACCTAAGTACGTGTGTCGCCTGGACAGTCACCGCTGCCATCAGTTGACTGGACAATCTCTTTACATGAGCTGCTGTTTACATGTGAACATTATCTCATGACGATACCTAAGTACGTGTGTCGCCTGGACAGTCACCGCTGCCATCAGTTGACTGGACAATCTCTTTACATGAGCTGCTGTTTACATGTGAACATTATCTCATGACGATACCTAAGTATGTGTGTCGCCTGGACAGTCACCGCTGCCATCAGTTGACTGGACAATCTCTTTACATGAGCTGCTGTTTACATGTGAACATTATCTCATGACGATACCTAAGTACGTGTGTCGCCTGGACAGTCACCGCTGCCATCAGTTGACTGGACAATATTTACATGAGCTGCTGTTTACATGTGAACATTATCTCATGACGATACCTAAGTACGTGTGTCGCCTGGACAGTCACCGCTGCCATCAGTTGACTGGACAATCTCTTTACATGAGCTGCTGTTTACATGTGAACATTATCTCATGACGATACCTAAGTACGTGTGTCGCCTGGACAGTCACCGCTGCCATCAGTTGACTGGACAATCTCTTTACATGAGCTGCTGTTTACATGTGAACATTATCTCATGACGATACCTAAGTACGTGTGTCGCCTGGACAGTCACCGCTGCCATCAGTTGACTGGACAATCTCTTTACATGAGCTGCTGTTTACATGTGAACATTAGCTCATGACGATACACAAATACGTGTGTCGCCTGGACAGTCACCGCTACCATCAGTTGACTGGACAATCTCTATACTACACGAGCTAGTGTCCCTTCACCTATCTGTTTGCGGACTGTTGTCGAGATGTTTTGTCGATTTACTACTAACTCGTTACGTTTAACCTCGGATCCACAATCAGATGTTGGATGTCAATTGTGTTTTGTAGCAGGGTTAATGTTAAAACTGATTTTTGTTATGATCGTCTGGAATTTGACTAATTTATTGTGATGCCATACACACTTAAATAGCGTATAGTGTTCCGTATACACCCATTTAACTGTGGGAGAGCCATGCTTCTGCACGAATGGGCAGGCTGGGCCGAAGTGATACCACAGCCTCACAGATAACCGACGTGAAGCAACGCTTGCGTTGTGTTTCGTCGTGTGAGTGAGGTTACCGGAGGCCCAATTACCCTCCCCTTCCTCAATCTCCCAAATTCCTGAATCCCCAACGATCCTCAAACGCCTAATCTCCAAAAGGCCGGTAACGCACTTGTAACGCCTCTGCTGTTCCATGTGTCCATGGGCGACGCCCATTGCTTACCATTAGGTGAACCGTCTGCTCGTTTACCGGCTTATGAAATAAAAAAAACACGCTGACAAAAAGACATTGATTTTACAATATTAATCGTTTTTGTTTTTATATTATCCGCCTCGTTGGCCGAGTAGTCAGTATTGCGACCGATGAATTTTCGTGTCATATTTGTAATTTAACTTTATTCAATTGCTGTATTATTGTATTAGAATGATGTAATTACTTTTAACTGAAGGATCACAAGACTATTGCAATATCTAATCTATATCTATATCTATACTAATATTATAAAGAGGAAAGATTTGTACCTATTTTTGTATGTTTGTAATGAATGCTTGATAAAATTGACGTGTAAAAGTGCTGCCTTGTAGCCTATTTGCATAAATAAATTCACTTGTTTCACTTGTTTCACTTGTTTCACTTGTTTCACTTGTTTCACTTGAATAGGCTCAAAAAGTATAGGGCCGATTTAAAAAATTCTTTGACCAATAGAATGCTACATTCTGCCAATTTGACGTAGGCTACATTTCATTTTGAAAAAAATGAGGGATCCTTGGTAAAATTTGAACAATGTAACCGAAGGTGTAGAAAAATGAGTCTTAAAATGTCTTTCGTCGAATGCGCTGCCGAAACTATTAGCGATAGAACAAAATAATGTACAACAATATTGAAGAACATCATAATGTCTACAAAAACTCCGCGGTAGCATATGTCGAACTATTGTACTTATGCCACCACAACAATCCAAATTTCCAAAAATAAATTATTGTCTACCCCGTGCGAAGCCGGGACGGGCTGCTAGTAGATTATATTTAAACATGCAAGTGTATCTTTTGTTAGTCCAAATAAATAAATTAACATTTTAAATTGCGTTCTAGAAACCCCTCTTATGTAGAGGAGGCTCATAGTTCAGTAGTATCTGTTACCTTTTGAGGCCTTACTTCACACGTACCATGTAAGCGTTGTTCCACGACGCTGTGATATGTAAAGCCGATACATGGTTCTCTGACCTGTCTGAAAAGAACTATGGAGTTTCTTATTAAACTACACTTTGGAACGAGCGCCTACCTTGTCTGACAGACATACGGACGGACAATTAAATTTTTGACATTCCAAAAGTACCTAATTCAGTATTAATTGAAATAAATGCCTTTGACTTTGACTTATGTCTTGTTTTAAAGGGGGGAAAATCATTTTTTGTTTAATTTTATTTATTATATTTCCAGCAATATCCTTACAGACTAATCCAAATCGATATTGAGATTTCTTATATCTAAATTACAAACTAGATTTTTAACTACCTAACCTATAAAGCCACTATACAATGTAACACTATGTATGTTATGAGTCCCATGTAATAGGGGGTAAGCCTATTGCCATATACCGGGCAGAGGCTAACTATAACAAATGCTAAGAAGTGCTACTTTAGTGAATTCACCCAGATTGCAATAAAACATATCAACGTCTTCAGCTATGAGGTTGAGCGTGCACAGTGCGTATCTAATGACTTCTCCCGCCTTGGGTGGAGCGAGAGGGAGTGTCAAACTCTTACTGCCTAACAATCATCCCGTTCCAACTTCTGCTCTTTGAACCGGAGCCGACGCGCTAAGTCTTCCAAGCTGTCGCGGAGAAACTAACGGGTAACCGGGGCTCCGGCTCGACGTGCAGGAGAAGGAACGGAGTGGTTTTTAGTCAGTAAGAGTCTGACACTCCCTCCCGCCTCACCCAGGCGGGAGCAGTCATTCGATGATTTTCCCCCCTTAAAAAAAAGTCTTCCAAGGTCGTCCGTATCGGACCTGTCTGTGTTACAAATACATCCACTTCTATCACTTTGAGTCATAAAGGGCCTGACACTATAATATGTTTTATGTAATAACCGTGAGTCCACTACAATGCACTCGTGTGTACGAGAAGTGACATAATTGGGACATGCCCAAGGTTGCTCTGGCTATTAGTGGCTATTGTGTGGATACTATCGTAAGATCACCAGGGTATGACGGGGTGTATAGTAGGTATAGTATGTTATCATGGTTAAAAGGGATAGGTAAATACATTAGAATAGTGATCACATAACATCACGCTTTTTTCCCCGGAGGGGTAGGCAGAAGTGCATATTACGGCACCCAATGTAATAGCCACTTTTCACTGTTTATGTTATGAGTCCCATGTAATAGGGGGTGAACCCATATACCGGGCACAATTTCCGACGTGCTAGTACTGAGATTTTTTTTTTAAAAACCCAGTAATACTTTGCTCGACCCGGGAATTGAACTCAAGACCCCCTGCCCGGTAGTCGCACTTGCGCCCACTCGGCAAACGAAATGAATACTAATTCATTTATTTTTTCCATATGTTTATTTAAAATTCTCTATAAATTACATTTTTAAATACTATTTACAAAATAAAAAAAAAAATATTTCAAAATATAAAAAATAGGAGCCGACCAGTAGCGGGAGCATAGTCCAAGCTACCGGTGGTTAGGGCTCCAGAGACAGAAACCTCCTCACGATACGTGGCCGTTTCTAGGAGAACTGCCTTCTGTATCAGGCCCTTGATCCATCCACCTAACGCCAGCCTCCTAAGATGGATGTCGAGGCTTTTAGGGATTAACCCATTGGCCGACACGACTATCGGCACAATGATAGCCGAATCCACACTCCACATGTCGACAAGCTCGTGAGCTGAGCTAAGTCTGGGACGGGTCCCCGCTGCCGGTGGTTGTGTGCGGCGCAGGAAATGGACTCAATTTTTTTTTTTTTTTTATAATTGATAAACAATGCATAAACGAGAACGTCATGCGCGCATACTACGGTGCTACAGAGGGAGGAACTAACCTTTACTCTTCATTTATTTTATTATTGTTGTTATTATTGTTTAAAAAGCGTTGCCCCACACTAGGATTTTCTCCTGTGTCGTGGGTGCGATTACAAACATACAAGTACACATACACATGACACCTTGACCCAGAACAATTTGTGGATCACACAAAGAGTTGCTCCGTGCGTGAATGGAACCCGCGACACGTTGCGTGGGAGCCGGTTGCCCAGCCACCACACTAACCGTGTTGTCAAACACTGTTAATCATTTAATTCTTTTTTGACGTGACAACGTCTTATAAATTGGTTTGCCGGGTGACACTTCAAGAAACTGCGTTACGCTCCGCTCACGTTATGCGCTCACAATGAGAGCGAGTGAGAGGCACGCGTCCCTTCCACTCGGGCATGGTTAGCCCGCCTAAGAGCGAAAGAGACAGACATAAAAAGTGAAAGGCACGCGTCCCTTCCACTCGAGCACAGTTAGCCCGCCTAAGAGCGAGAGAGACAGAGCGAGAGAAAGAGAGAATGAGAGAGATAGGCATACACATCTTTGTATAAATAAATGTTTTAAATTGTTACTATTATTTTATCCTTCTTCCTACTATACGAATGAATATTCACATTACAATTATTTTACCACTCAAAGTCGTTGTCACGTAAAACTTTCGCCCGTATACCAACTTTACAGGCAACCAATTTTTTTTTCTTTTTCCAGGTTAGACAGGACATTCAGAGGAAAAGGTCTATGCGAGTTAATGACAAAACCGATAGAAGCGTTCGACTTACGACGTGATTTTGTTGAAGACAAAGATTTCGATTTTTTCGAGCTCGACCGAAATAGCTTGGAACCGAATTGCCCAGACACTCTAAGGGGTCCAGGGGTCTTACATTCTGGTTTTTTATCCTCAAAACCGAATCGGATAGAGGGGGAAGGGTCACAAAGTGGCTGGAGGGACAGATATGATGGATTTGATCAATCGGACCGATTCGGTGGTAATCGGAGAGGTGGTTACGGGAATCGACGATATGATGATCGATTTTATATTCCTTATCAGATTAATCAAGGTGAGTGGTGGTGTTTGTCCTGAGAAATAGTGTGAAATGTGTTGCTAGTCAGCGTGAAGTTTTGAGTTCGATGCTCGTCGTTATGTGAATTTTTGTGGGATGTCATTGATGTCAATCATAGTTTGTAGTCTAATATATTACTCGATAGTCGCGGAGAACCTAACGGGTAACCGGGGCTCTGGCTCGACGTGCAGGAGAAGGAACGGGGTGGTTTTTAGTCAGTAAGAGTCTGACACTCCCTCCCGCCTTGCCCAGGCGGGAGTAGACAATCAATGATTTTCCCCCCTTAAAAAAAAACCCCAATCCATGTGAATCGTAAATAAGGAGGTTATGGTAAACCCCTCTTATGGACGAAACTATTTAAGTATTTTTAATTTTTTCGACATGACCTATTTCGTCGATATATGGTGACAAACTTGGATGCAGAAAGTTGTATAAGTACCTATTGAGATTATATTGAGATCTAGTATCTTCAGTTCGAGTCCCGGACAGCACAATATTTTTATTATTAACTTGAAAACAGCTAACTTTATTATGAACATTAGTAAAATTTCTGAGCTCTGTGTTATAAGTTTTAGAAGCAGCATTTGGCCGCCAAATTTTTGCCATTACCAAAAGTACAGAAATTTCAAAATCTTTACTTGATAATTCTTCATCATCTATTTCCAGGGTTAGCACGAAGCAACGACGGCCAGGAACTCTGGGGTAAATACGGAGGCGAGTACGGAGGAAACAGATATTACAAAGATAGAAATGACTACCACAAATCTGTAACTCATTGGCAAATATCCACCGATGTAGAAAGACCCTCATATGGAGTCAAGCCCCATGGAAATACCAACTTCGATTACCATAATTTGGGTAAAAATGGGGGGTCCTGGATCGGTGACCGATATGGCTATGGTTCATGGAAAAGAGGGAGGTGGAATAGCTCAGGGAATTCTGGCAACCCTAATGGATTGGATTATGGGGATTCAAGTTTTTTTAAGCAGAAGCATCATCATGAGTCTATTGATCGAAGTGATGACGGAAGGACTAAAGGTAAAAATAGATAGTATTTCACCATTTTATGATGAATGCAAAAAATTTTAAAAATAAGTGTGGCACGGTATTGCTAGTTGTCCATAACAGAATTATTATTGTACACAAAGCACCGCTAATTAGTTTGCAGCGCTACACATCGACACTACTGTCATTTACACAGTGTACATGTGTGGGTAATTTCATATTACTGTGTATAAAAATATTCGTCCACCACGTTCACATTGGTATTTTCATTCTTGTGTCGGTATACGTATTTTTATAATTTAATGCATAGGTAAGGTTAAAACTATTTACAATCATTGATATGACCCGACATTTTCACTGTCATTATCGTAGTGCTCGTGGTCGATTGGTTAATGAGCACGCTTTTATCGTCTTTCAAGGATCAACGATGTGGGTTCTATTCCAGCTAAAAGTTTATTTTATTTTACCTTGTTATTTTTCTTATTAATTTTTTTTTGTCATAAAATATAAATATCAGGCTATAAAAGAAGCAAATGAGTTGGAAGAAGCAAAAAAAAACTATTTTTATAACATTGTCGCCACAAACATTGCAAATATACTCAGGTATCGAACCATTAAGAAATCACAGTTAATTACTTTTTTACTGTTTTGAGATTATTCTAAATAATAAATAACTAGAACTAAAATATAAATAAAAGATATTATAGGTATAAATAAATCTAAAGTATTTACTATTAAAATGAACATAAGATTTAGAACAATAGGATAGGAAAAAAAAGAAAAGATTTAATTGTTTCTAATTACAAATTTCAAATTTCAAATATTTGATAAATTAATACTAAAACAACATGTGAATGCTGGAATCGATCCGGCGGCACTTTACTTGACAATTGGAGGCGATAACCATTGCGCCAAGCGCGCTGTAGATGAAATCCTCGAAATATTGTATAACATTCAGTAACATAAAATTACAATGAGAAAGCACTATATTTATATGGGTATTGTATAGCTCGATCGTTCATTATCTTTGATTTCGATTTATTCAAAGTTTGTTATGAGTAATTTTATCTTTACCCTCGTTTTTATTTAAACTTATTTACTAAATTATTACGTATACCGACACAAAAATGATATTTAAATACCAAGATGTGTGTGATAGACGAATGTCTTACTATCTTATTGATATGAAATTACCCACACATGTATATTGTGTAAATGATAGTTGTGTCGATGTGTAGCGCCGCGAGCTAATTAGCGGTGCTTTGGTACATCTGTGATAGCAACTAATGTGTTTCGAATCTTCGATACGTAATAAGACCATTGTTATTGCAAATTCCTATTAGTAAAACACAATGTTTGATATTCTCGACCCAATATTTTTAAGATTACCCTCGACTACTCTAAGTAATTTTATTGTGTATGTTTTAAGTATGTACCTAATGTAATATTTCGGTTGTTCATAAATCCTTACTTATGTTATAAATCGGATAGTGAGTTTGTTTATTTGTTCCACTTTAACGCCGTAACTACTAAACCGATTGCTTTGAAATTTGGCAGACGTAAAGTTAGAAGTCCGGATTAAATAATAGGGTACTTTTTATACCTGAAAAATTTGATATTCCCGAGGGAAAACAAAAATATTGGTATAGATGGCGCTGTGTGTATTGGTATGTGTCACATTGGCTTTTTATCCTTTTGTGACGCGAGCGAAGCCGCGGGTAAAAGCTAGTACGGATATATTGTTTCGGGCGCTGATTCGCATTCTGTACCTACTTACATATGTATATTTTGTATTTCTCAATCAAGTCAGTGTAAATTGTTTTTGAGAAATAAATGTCTTAAACCGTAAACCGTAATTCACAATATTGCCATTATTAACAGTCTGTGACAGGTCACCGTTGGAATATACCCACGACACAAGAGAAAACCCTAGTGTGCGGCAACATTTAAAAAAAAATGAGCGTCCATAGAAGTCCTCCATAACGATGTTTTTTCCATGTTAAATATTGATTTCCTTCCAGATTGTTCCTCCCGCCGTCGTCCAGGTATGTCTTTAGGCACGGGTGCCATCAGACGAGCTCTCATATCCCGCAACGTGGTGGAGTGCGAGGCAGCCTGCTTCAGTGAGAGGGAGTTCAAATGTGTATCTTATTCTTATAGGTAAGGAACGCTTTTTATATTAACACAGTGAGCTTTGGTGGGCGAAATGATAAATACTATTTTCTTATCATTTAGTCTGTCGTTCTGTCGGCCTTTTTTTTAATGGGGGAATACATCGAATGACTGCTCCCGCCTGGGTGAGGCGGGAGGGAGTGTCAGACTCTTACTGACTAAAAATCACCCCGTTCCTTCTCCTGCACGTAGAGCCGGAGCCCCGGTTACCCGTTAGGTTCTCTGCGACTCCGAATCGGCATCGGCCCTATTGGGCCCCATCTGTGGTGGTCTGATGGCTCTTTGAGGCGCGCGCGGAACGCGACGCGCCGTACGCTCGCGTCTAGTTCTGGTCGGACGGGGAGCCACGCATGCTCGCCGTCCGCAGGCCCGCGCTTTTCTGTTGGCCTAAAATGGGGCCTACCGTATTTTTTTCACCAGATGGCATTAGTTTGGTACCATCTCTTGTTCTTCGTCCAATAGGGAATCAGCTTGTGTTACACCATTGGACGTTTAATATTTGACAGCTGCTGTGATTGAACTAAAATACCTCTTCCTATATTTACACCATTTGGTGAGCAAAAATACCGTAGGTCACATTGTGCTCAGCTCGAAATAAATCTATTATATAAAAATAAGTAGTTTTTCCTTCCTGACGCTATAACTCCAGAACGCACGAACCGATTTCCACGGTTTTGCATTCGTTGGAAAGGTCTCGGGCACCGTGAAGTATATAGCAAAGAAAAATTACTTCATCTTTTAATCACCAAACGAAATGTTACATAAAACGAAGCCATCTGGTGGCGAAACGGAGTTCACCGGGTTTGCTAGAGGCTTATAGATCTTCGTAATGAAATAAAATTATATAGAAAGAAAGAAAGAGAGAAAAAACTGTATTTCACGCTAAAAAACAAGTGACAGGTACAGATGTGTTACTCCCTATCAGTAGATACAGATGGATACATGTTCATGTCCTAAGTCTGTCGTAAAATGGGACCAGTTCAGCATGTGCAAGACAGGGCCTTGCGCATTCTTCGTTCTTCTTCATTCGGGTATTCTATAGTACATATATACGAAATGAAATGATATTATGTATTTCTGCAAATAGGTTACAATGTGACACTTTTACATGTAAATATTTTAATTACTACATGAGGGCCGGCATTTTCTAACTGACTACTCTGAGAAGAAACGCCGAAACGAACTCAGAGGTCATTATCTCTTTTTAATACGGAGATAAATTAATAGACTCTTTAGCCAACTTAACATTTAAGCTCGACTGGTTCCAAGCCTTGACCAGGGCTCATAAGAACCCTTGTTGACCGTTTTTTTTAATTTACATAACATAACATAACATCACGCCTTTTATCCGCGAAGGGGTAGGCAGAGGTGCACATTATACCACTGTACAATGTAACACCCACTTTTCACTATTTATGTTATGAGTCCCATGTAATAGGGGGTGAGCCTATTGCCATATACCGGGCACAGTACCAGACTCCGTGCTACTACTGAGAATTTTTTAAAACCTAGTAATATTTTGCCAGACCCGAGAATCGAACCCGAGACCCCTTACTTTTATTCGCAATTGCGACCACTCGGCCAACGAGGCAGTGATTTTTTAATGTAGTTGTCGTTTTTTCCAGATATTCAAATTCCCATGGTACTGATAACTGTTTTCTGAGTGAGCGGCCTTACCGAGGGTTGGAGTTGGCAGCTGACAGCAGTTCTGATGTGTATGCCATGCCTCAGGACCAGGGTTGTGTGACCATCAACTATAAACCTTGGGTTGAGAGTGGTAAGGTTTATTATATACTAGCTTTTACCCGCGGCTCCGCTCGCGTCCCAAAATGATAAAAAGTAGCCTATGTGACATATACCAATACACACAGCGCCATCTATACCAATACTTTTGTTTTTCCTCGGGAATATCAAAATTTTCCGGGTTAAAAAGTACCCTATTATTTAATCCGGACTTCTAACTTTACGTTTGCAAAAATTCATAGCAATCGGTTTAGTAGTTATGGCGTGAAAGCGGAACAAACAAACAAACAAACAAACTTGTTTTTACGCAAATAAAGGTCTTTATCTTTAACTCACTTTCCGATTTATAATATTAGTAAGGATATTTTTTTTTTATATTTTATCCTGATATTAGTGACTTATTAGTTAGTTAGTTATTTTTTACATTTTTAAAACAATCAGTGCAATAACCTCAGTGCTGACACTAATATCAATAAAGTATTGATGAGCTTCTGTGGGATTTTAGAAATAGTCAAGGTAACAGTAAAATAATAACGAAGACATCAAGTCAGAGGTTGCGAGAGTTATCTCTCAACCTTTGACCTATTTTTTTATGAGATAAGCTTGCCACAACCTCATAAAACCGCTGCAACTCCTGTAAGCCAGGATCTACAGTAGATACAGCCATGAACACACCGGAAAACTGAAGTCCGGCGCGTCCCAGGGACATGAGTAACTGTCTTGGTTCCCGCAACGAAGTGAATCAGAAGATATTATAAAAGGAGAAGAAAAAAACGATAGTTTCCACAAGCTCTGAGCTAGTAAAATGCACTTGAATTTGTATCAAATCTCTGAAATTGTGTGACTAACCTCTCGCGTGTTTCTCGTACACACGGGTGTACGAGAGAGTTGAGTGCCCATCGCGAAATTGTGCACACGGGTGTACAAGAAACGCGCACCGATTGGATATTTTTTCTGTGTTGTATGTTTTCAAGTTTGCAACCCGTTCTTTATTTGATTGAACAGAATAGTTAATTCGCATTTCTATTAAAATATTTACCCGTGTGTACGAGATGCGTGCGAGAGGCTATTTGATATGACCTTCTTTGGCTAGCGTAGGTACCTACCACTTATCTATATCTATCTATATCTATACATATAATAAAATTGTAGAAAAGTGCTGTCTGTACATTGAAAATAAAAATAAAAAAAATAGCAGGGGTTATTGTTATGTCGATGTCGAACCCAAAAATGTAATTAACTTTTTTTTTGTCTGTTTGTCTGTTTGTCTGTTCACGCTAATCTCAGAAACGGCTGATCCGAGTTGGATGCGGTTTTCACGAATATATTGTGGTATGCTTCAGTTATGCTTTAGTGTTTGTTTCATGTCAATCGGTTCATAAATAAAAAAGTTATGTCAAATTAAAGAATCACGTCGTGAGTATATATTTAAAAAAAAACGCTGCTCATAGTCACTATTCCACGCGAACGAAGTCGCGGGCACAGCTAGTGATAAAATAATTATTTTATGTATGTAAATAATATTATTTAGAGAATATATATTTTACTTGTACATATAATTTACAAGTACCTGAGTACACCAAGAACAACCTCCACTTTCATTGAACAGTGCTCCATTCACCCAAAGGTTGCCTGGTAGAGATCGCTTTTAGTGATAACGCCGCCTTTGTACCCTACTATTCTTTATTATAACGATACATGTATATTCTATTGATTTAATTAAGGTGTACAATAAAGGTTATTATTATTATTATGCAAAACCCTTTGTTCAGAATGAGTACTCGATTTATAATCGATGCCCAATTCTTATATTGTGTATTTTCTTCTATGCATCTTTCTTCCTTTCCAGAATGTTTCTGGCACGTACGGTCCGGGTCAGCAGTGAGTGACTCAGCAGTGCGGGCCGCCCTCACGGTGGCCGGGCTCGGCGCCTGCGAGGCTGAGTGTATCAGGGCACACGCATTCTTCTGTAGGGGATTCAGTTTTAGGTGAGCAAAGAGAAGTAATGAATTGATTTTAAATCATTCATATTATTGAGAAATAACGAGCACATCAAGACGCAAGTTTATGCTCATTTTTGATTAGCAATAGTTCGGAAGAACTGAAATATTCAGAAATTCAAAATATATAGAATCTGCCAAGTCGAGAACCAAGCAAACATTACCGTACCATCCTTGTCAGGAACCATTTCGCCGCATTTTCAGGCCCCTATTTGACCGTTGAAGGGTAACACCATGTTTTCCAAGTGGCAATTTTCCTTCGTCAATGGGTAGCGGTTCTGGCGACAGATTGGTTCAATGGTGTTATGGAGCACCTGGTTTTGTACCCTTGTGTATCTTTCAACAGCAAAGTCTCACAACATTAACTATAATAATAACAAAATCGCAATAAGGAACCTTAGACTTGCCACTACTTTGTTATATTTCATTACTTTTTAGAGATAAACTGGCAGCTGCATCGAGACTTGGCTAGTTTTTTACAGAATGTTTTTGGTGGGTTTTGATCGAAACTTTACACAAACACTATTTATAAAGTATGTATAGTCAAACAAATAGTGCTTATTATGTTTACTTGATGGTTCTATCTATAGTAAACCAGTGCCTTTCCAAGATGGGTGATAGGAATACATAGTTAGTATTTAATTTTATTATTTGTCTGTGATTAAAAAAGTGATTTTAGAATCTGCTTAAATCATTACTTTTGTGAGACATAAAGAACTAATCATTATATTTTCGGCTTACTCACGTCGCTTACTCACTCGCGTCGCGGGTCGCGGAATGCTGCTCATGAACATGAGCCTCTATAGCATAGCTTGACACTAGTTAAGTTTGTCGTCAAACAGTTACGTGAGTAGGCCGAAACATATGTGTTTCAATCAAAGTCTAAATGAAAGAAGAAAGAAAGAAAAATCGTTTATTTGCACACCGTCACAAGGTATACAGTAAAGACGGCGCAAAAAGGCCAGAGCTCAGCTTAAATGCCGTGACACGTGCCGTAAATCAAAGTCAAAGCATTTATTTCAATAAAACCATAATTTGGTACTTTTGAAACGTCAACAAATACAAAATAAATAATAATAGTCTGCCAGTCAGTCCGTCAGTGAAGCTAGGTGAAGCTAGGTGCTCATTCCAAAATGTAGATTCGAATGGAGAAGAACGAGCAAGAAGCTCCATTCGTTACTCTTTTTAAAAAAGTATGTTCTACAATTACAATGTCTCTGATACATATTCCAATACTGTACGTATATGTGAGAACAATGCAAAGACACGCTTGACGCATTATAAGTACTAATTACAAACCTTACTAAAAATAAAAAAATCTTACTTATCTAACATGGTGCTTACATATTATGCATACTGACAATCCTTGCTAATATTATAAATCTGAAAGTGAGTTTGTTTGTTTGTTTGTTTGTTCCACCTTCACGCCGTAACTACTCAACCGATTGCTTTGAATTTTTGCAGACGTAAAGTTAGAAGTCTGGATTAAATAATAGGGTACTTTTTATCCCGGAAAAAATTGATATTCCCTAGGAAAAACAAAAGTATTGGTATAGATGGCGCTGTGTGTATTGGTGTGTATATGTCACATAGGCTACTTTTTATTCTTTTGTGACGCGAGCGAAGCCGCTGGTAAAAGCTAGTGCATAATAAATCACATTGATTTTTTTTCCAGGTTTGATTCTCCAACCATAGGAGATGATCTAGAGAACTGTGTCCTCACGTCATCGCCACCTACGTCTCTGGAGAATGGGCGCGGGCTGCGACCCAACACTGGACATGAACTATATGCGAGAGGCAACTATGGGAGGGGATGTGAACCAGCGCTGTATGATGATGTCCAGCATAGAGATGAGGGTAAGTTGCCAGTCACTTTAGTACACAGGTTTTTCATTCTGTTATATACAATGACTTCAAAAAGGTAAGTTCCATATAATTTATTGTAAACAATATTATTTTTCGATACTATTTTGCAGAGTAGGTCCAACGAAATATTATACACTAGCTTCTGCCCACGACTTCGTACGCGTAATCTCATTTTTTCCCGTCCCCGTTCGTGAATTTCGGTAAAAAGTAAAAAAAAAATTGGTTAAAAAGTATCCTATGTCGGTCTCCTGGCTCTAAGCTACCTCCCTACCAATTTTCAGCCAAATCTATTCTGCCGTTCTTGAGTTATAAGTGGTGTAACTAACACGACTTTCTTTTATACATATATAGATGTCAACAATTTTTGGTAAGGTTAGTTTAGTAAGATATATTTGTTCGTATGTACACAAAGCACCGCTAATTAGTTAGCGGCGCTACACATCGACACAACTATCATTTACACAATATACATGTGTGGGTAATTTCATATCAATAGATATGTATAGAAACAATCGTCTATCACACACATCTTGGTATTTAAAAATCATTTTTGTGTCGGTATACGCAATAATTTAGTAAATAAGTTTAAATAAAAACGAGGGTAAAGATAAAATTACTCATAACAAACTTTGAATAAATCGAAATCAAAAATAATGAACGATCGAGCTATACAATACCCATATAAATATAGTGCTTTCTCATTGTAATTTTATGTTACTGAATGATATAAAATATTTCGATGATCTCATCTACAGCGCGCTTGGCGCAATGGTTATCGCCTCCAATTGTCAAGTAAAGTGCCGCCGGATCGATTCCAACATTCGCATGTTGTTTTAGAATTAATTTATCAAATATTTAAATTTGAAATTAGAAACAATTAAATCTTTTCTTTTTTTTTCCTTTCCTATTGTTCTAAATCTTATGTTAATTTTAATAGTAAATACTTTAGATTTATTTATACCTATAATATCTTTTATTTATATTTTAGTTCTAGTTATTTATTATTTAGAATAATCTCATTTGCTTCATGCATTTCAACCAACTTAAATAAGATAAAAACAGTAAAAAAGTAATTAACTGTGATTTCTTAATGGTTCGATACCTGAGTATTTGCAATGTTTGTGGCGACCATAGAAATCTCGAGTCATTTTATTTTACACGCTTATGATGTAACTACCGACTATTTAAAACATGTTTTTCAAATCACCCGACTTACAAAATAATTGCGTTCTTAGTTGTCAATTTATGAGGATTTCATAGTTTAGTGCTACACTACTTATATTCGTGTGCAAAGTTATTTTTATTTTTACAAGATGTTCCAACACCTATCAACATTTAAAAAGGCTGAAACCATTGTTTTGCATGAGCAAAACATAACTAACAATAACTGAAATAGCAAGGCGTTTAATGATATCGTGAGTAAATAAGATACTACGTTGTTATTCTAAATAATTTTATTTCATTTTGTAACTCGACACACCTATCAATTTTTGCACTAGAATAAAATAATTATTGCAACTTATTATGAAGTTCAATATTATAAAGACATATTAATAATTTATTATTAATTGTATTGTAACTTGACTTGTTTTTTGTTAGGAGTGTTTCTTTAAAACATATCTGGTTAGGGATTTTATTCCTTACGCCACTACTTAATTATAAATTTTATTCTAACATTGTGTTTACTTATATTTATTATTATTTTTAAGTAACTTTAATTCCTGTAAAGTATTTCCTGGTATTTTAAATACTTATTTGTTTGGTATCAACGAGGAGATCCATGCAGTTATGGGTGCACAGATATGCGGAGACCGGTGACGTTAAACATCGTCGACGTGGGCCTAAACCAAAGGCAAATTCATCGGCTCGGCACTACGACATCGTAGCCAGACACATGGCTGATCCATTCCTGCCAACCCGCACTACAGCGACAGCACTGAATGTTTTAATACAAACTGTACGGAGACACCTGCATTCTGGTTTAAGGTGCAGGAAGCCAGAGAAAATATTGTTATCTGTGGTTCACCAGCAAAAGCGCTAAGAATTTGCTAAGGACTTTATTAATTTTGATTGGGCGAACAGTGTAATCATATTGAGCGACGAAAAGACTTTCAAGTCGGATAAGGATGGGCGTAAAATATTGTGAAGAAAAGATGGAGAAAGGTATACGAATTGCAACCTTCTGCCTTGTAGGATCAGTGATTGTATTGATTTCGGAATCAATTATTGAGCCTGTCAAACTCTGCCTTTATTAAAATTTACATAAAATAATGTTTAATTTTTTTAAGAATATTAAAATGCTGTCTAGAACATACGGTGAAGTGATGTTATTGTTTTGTGGTTAGAAATTGTCATAATTTCTTTCTATTCAACATGTTTATTCACTTCACTTTAATTTTTCATTAACAAATTTATTTAACTGCTTTCGAACTTGATTGACATATTATATTTACGCCCATCTTCAATTAATTTAAACTGTCAAACACCAAGCGGTCACCGGTGACCGCGACCTATTGTTCTTTAATTGTGTCTATAAAACCGGTACTCGACGAGTTAAAGTTTCCCTGATTCTAAAGGTCATGAAAGTTAAAATCGTTCCATAGCATTCGTCACATTCGTTTTACTATCATACAGCCCACTGAATATTGAACCTTATAACACCGTCGTAAAATAGATAATTAATGGAAGTTCAAACGACAAAAAGTCGCCCATTTCAAGAAATATTTGACATGTAATTTTTTACATGTTTTACTTGTTTATTACTGTAAAACTGTAATTTAATAATACATTATATTATTAAATTACAAAACAAGAATGTTGTATATTTGTTATTACCTACTTAAAAAAAAATGTTGCTGCCATCGTATTACCGCTGTACCGCATGATATTTCCCGATTCGACTATGGTTTATTGTCATATCTATTAATTATGATTTAAAGAACTTTAAACTTAACATGTGGTATATAATTAATTATTAGATATAAATATTGAATATAAAACAACATATTAGTATAATAAATAAATTAATTGTAATAAAAAATAGTATTGTTTTATTTACCAACTCATTTGCTTCTTTTATAGCCTGATATTTATATTTTATGACAAAAAACAAAAAAAAAAATAAGAAAAATAACAAGGTAAAATAAAATTAACTTTTAGCTGGAATAGAACCCACATCATTGATCCTTGAAAGACGATAAAAGCGTGCTCATTAACCAATCGACCACGAGCACTACGATAATGACAGTGAAAATGTCGGGTCATATCAATGATTGTAAATAGTTTTAACCTTACCTATGCACTAAATTATAAAAATACGTATACCGACACAAGAATGAAAATACCAATGTGAACGTGGTGGACGAATATTTTTATATACAGTTATATGAAATTACGCACACATGTACACTGTGTAAATGACAGTTGTGTCGATGTGTAGCGCTGCAACTAATTAGCGGTGCTTTGTGTACGTGTTATTCTGTCCTTAACTCTATGATTCTTCTTTCAGAATGCTACCTTCAATACGACAAAGCAGCCAAATTGAGCGGTGGAGCAATCCGCGGTCAGGCGCGCGTCAAAGACGAGCAAGCGTGCGGTCGCGCGTGCAATGAGGCTCCGTTCAGATGTCTCAGCTTTTCTTTCAAGTAAGTTTTTAATTTCAATTTGTCATTAGTTAGCATAACATCATTACATCTCGTCTTTTATCCTCAAAGAGGATTATCGGACATTATGCCACTGTACAATGTAACCACTTTTCACTATTTATGTTATGAGTCCCACATAATAGGGAGTGAGCCTATTGCCATAAGTGCGACTGCCGGGCAAGGAGTCTCGGGTTCGATTCCCGGGTCGGGCAAAGTACTAGTTTAAAAAAAAAATCTCAGTAGTAGCACGGAGTCTGGAATTGTGCCCGGTATATGGCAATAGGCTCACCCCCTATTACATGGGACTCATAACATAAATAGTGAAAAGTGGGTGTTACATTGTACAGAGACATAATGTGCACCTCTGCCTACCCCTTCGGAGATATAAGGCGTGATGTTATGTTATGTTTGTAGAATTTAAATGAATAACCAATTGACGGTTGACTGCACGGTTGGCGCGGTGGCTGGGCAACTGGCTGCCGCGCAACGTGTCGCGGGTTCGATTCCCGCACGGAAGAACTCTTTGTGTGATCCACAGATGGTTGTTCCGGGTCTGGGTGTCATGTGTATGTGATATTGTATGTTTGTAAACGCACCCACGATACAGGAGAAAATCCTAGTTTAAGGCTTTTTTAAAAAAAAAAACCTCTCTTCCAGTAACAACGCTCCACCGAAGACGGACAACTGTCTTCTGTCAGAGATCCGTCTGTTTGACCTCCAGAGAGGAGTGGACTACGTACACTCTGCTGATGACTGGCTGTTCGCCTTCGATCTGTTCAATGGCCAGTGCTGGAGAAAAGTTCATGTTGTGGAGTATGAGTAAGTATTAAGTACCCGTAACGAGGTGATCAGACAGAGAACTAAAGTTACCGATGTAGACCAAAGAATTAGCAAGCTGAAATGACAATGGGCCGGTCACATTTGTCAAAGAACCGATGACCGCTGGAGTAGACGTGTTCTAGAGTGGAGACCGCGTCTAGGCAAACGTAGTGTAGAGCGCCCTCTAGCTAGGTGGAGTGACGATATACGTAAAGTGGCTGGTAGTGGTTGGATGCGTAGAGCTGAAGACCGAGCTCAGTGGCGTGCCATTGGAGAGGCTTATGTCCAGCAGTGGACGAAATCAGGCTGTTGATGATGATTAAGTATCCGTTGGATAGAAAGTATGATCACACAAAGATGGGCAATATAATTAGGCCTACTTTAGGCCGCTAGTTTTTATTACTCATCACTTATCAACATCCTATAAATGCCGTTTGCTGAGCAAAGCTTCTTCTCACACGGAGAAGGTTTGAGCTTTGATCACCACGCTGCGCTTGCTGAATACGGGTTGGCGATTTCAAAGTTATAATTAGAAATTATAAGCCCAGGTTTCCTCACGATGTTTTCCTTCACCGTTTGTGAGTGGTGTCTAGATAATCTTAGAAAGTGCATATAACTCTGAATTCGGAAACAGTCACATTGATACTTGCCGTTGGTAGGTTTCGAACGGCATTCTCATGCTTGAAGGCGTCTTGAACCTCCAGGCCTAAAATTTAATTAAGATTACCGTTAATTCTAATTTAAGAATATTATTTCTCATAAAAAGAATACAATTCACTTAAGATATGAGAAAACATGATAACTTAAAATTAAAGTACCTACAGAGTTTGAGCATGCGGGCGGTACATTGAAATTCTTCTACTAAAATATATACCTAATTAGTTAACAATGTGAGTAACTAAACATTTAAGCTGGTTATTACGTGTCGCTTTTTCTAATTAATTTGTTAGTTGATAATTCAAATTTAGACCTTAATAACTTGCGTTAGTCTTCACTTCTACAGTCATTTTGAATGTTATAATAACCAACTGTAAAATTCTAAATACACTTTTACACATACCAGTGAATTTAAACACACTTCTAATCGCAGTGATCCAGCTCCGGAAATACCTCGTCCGCTCGCAGCGCCACCTGTCGAGGATCACTACCCAGTATCAGGACCGTCCGGCCCACCATCGTCTCCCACCGGATTATCCGGACCTTCAGCACCTAGTGGACCCGGATATCTACCAGATCATGCTCATAATGGTAAGTTGCAACAAAATGAAATCAGGCTGTAAAATGTAGCTATGCAATTTGCTTATATTTTTTCAGTAGGCACTTTTTTCAATAATTTATAATAAGCTGGTGACACCCCTAAAATTTGCAACGCCTGAAAAAGGCCGTTAAGCTGTGCCTGTTATTTCATAAGACCTGTATGTATTACCTTAACATGTAAATAAAGAGTTTGAGTTTGAGTTATTTTAGTTGGTGCTGTTTTTCTTTGCTTTATGAAATAAACTGGTAAATGAGCAGACGGATCACCTGATGGTAAACACTAGTAATCGGTACCGCCCACGGACACCCGAAACACCAGAGGCGTTACAAGTACGTTACCGGCCTATTGGGGATTAGGCAATTGGGGATTGTTGGGGATGCAGGGATTGGGGAGCAAGAGGGGCGGAATCGGGCCTCCGGTAACCTCACTCACATGAAGAAACACAACGCAAGCGTAGTTTCACGTCGGTTTTCTGTGAGGCCGTGGTATCACTCCGGTCGAGCCGGCCCATTGGTGTCGAATTCTTTTCATAGAGAAAGTCATAATTAATGCTTAGTAACATTAGAAAAATCGACAGAACTGGATACAAAATTATAAAAAAAACAATATCGATTTTGATAGTTTTGAAAAAATAATTATATGAGACATTCCTCTTTCATAATTTTACTAGCTACTTCCGCGCGGTTGCACCCTCTCTGCTCGGCACCTATTGGTCGTAGCATAATATTATATAGCCTATAGTCTTCCTCAATAAATACACTATCCAACACAAAAATAATTATTAAAATCGGACCAGTAGATCTAGAGATTAGTGCGTTCAAACAACCAAACTCTTTAGCTGCATATAATATTAATCCTTACTAATATTATAAATCGGAAAGTGAGTTTGTTTGTTTGTTTGTTTGTTTGTTCCGCTTTCACGCCGTAACTACTAAACCGATTGCTTTGAAATTTTGCAGACGTAAAGTTAGAAGTCCGGATTAAATAATAGGGTACTTTTTATGATATTCCCGAGTGAAAACAAAAGTATTGTTATAGATGGCGCTGTGTATATCGTTATATGTCACATAGGCTACTTTTTATCTTTTTGTGACGCGAGCGAAGCCGCGGATAAAAGCTAGTAATATATAAGATAGTATTACAAACTAGTATCATGTTTGACAAGGTGCTAAATAAACTAACTTTCTATTCCCAGAACCACCGTTTATCCCGGCATCAGGCCCACCGAGCGGACCCGGTTTCAAACCTTACTCACCCGGTTCCAATTTCAAACCCGGATACTCTGAACCTTCTGGTCCCGGATATAAACCAAATTACCCACCAAGTGGTCCAGTTAAACCTTACCCAGAACCATCTGGACCAGATTTTAAGCCAGGCTATCCGGGTCCTAGTTTCAAACCCGGTTATTCTGAACCATCTGGACCTGGATTCAAACCTGACTACCCAGGACCAATAGGTCCTAGTTTTAAACCTGTTTACCCACCTGCTGTAAAACCTGGATACCCTGAACCAAGTGGACCTGGTTACAAACCTGGATATCTACCAGATCAGGATTTAAAACCTGGTTTCCGACCATCAGCACCGCCGCAGCGACCTGTCTACCGACCAATTTTGGATGCGCCAGATTATCTACCAGGAAAACCGGGGTACTTGCCAGAGAAACCTGGTTATTTGCCAGACCGCCGACCTGGTTATCCTGGACCTAATAGACCAGTTTATGATGAACGCCCATCCAGACCAACTAGACCTGGGTTTAAACCTGGATATCCTGATAGAGCAGACGATGAATCGAGTAAGTGTTTTACAAGGTATCTATCATAAATTAAGTGAAAACGCGGGTTACTCACCGACCGCGCACGCTGCTCATGAGGAACCCCTCTGTGGTTCGAAACTAGTAGAGCTTTTCTCAGTATATTCACGTGAGTAACCCGCGTTTTTACTTCATTTAGTATGTCTCACGATAGTTATTATAAAAACGTATCTATCATAATTAATTATTGCATTGCGTTGTAGTATTTCTTTTGAGTAAGAATACTGTAATGCGTTTAGGACTTGTTCCGTGCGGGATTCGAACCCGCGACACGTTGCGTAGCAGCCAGTTACCCACACACCGCGCCAACCGTGCAGTAAATTAAAGACAATATAGTGACTATTTTTAAATATACTATGTATTGAAACAGGCGGGAGCAGTCATGCGATGATTTTCCCTCCTTAAAAAAAACCCCTTCGGGGATAAAAGGCGTGATGTTGTGTTATGTGTCAATACACAATCTCGTATAAAATTCATAGACAGCTGTCGTTTTTGACATTGAGAAAAAAGTATTGAATTTGATTAGTTGGCAAGTACCCGATTAGTAAAAAATAGTTATAGGCTAATCGGTGTTTTCATAAACCCACAGGGTGTTTTTTTATGGCATAAGCCGGTAAACCAGCAGACGGATCACCTAATGGTAAGCAATCGGCGTCGCACATGGACATCTGAAACACCAGAGGCATTAAAAGTGCGTTACCGGCCTTTTGGGGATTAGGAGTTTGAGGATCGTTGGGGAGATTGGGGAAGGGGAGGGTAATTGGGCTTCCAGTAACCTCACTCACACGACGAAACACAACGCAAGCATTGCTTCACGTCAGTTTTCTGTGAGGCCGTGGTATCACTCCGGTCGAGCCGGTCCATTCGTGCCGAAGCATGGCTCTCCCACACTTAGTTAAAAATAACTTTAGATTTTTTAGTTTCAGTATCGTGGCGTCACTATACGGTATCTGGGTTCCCGTGCCGTGCAGGGACAACGTGTGCACAGAACACCATCGCTGGCCATTGGGCTTGTGAACCTGAAGGTGGAGAAATTGGTCAGTTTTATTTTTTATTTCTAAAAATTTTAATGACTGTATCGATGACCGAGTGGTCCACAGTGTGACTGCCGCGCCAGTGGTCTCGGGTTCGATTCCCGGGTCGGGCAAAGTATTACTGGGTTTAAAAATCTCAGTAGTAGCACGGAGTCTGGAGTTGTGCCCGTTATATGGCAATAGGCTCACCCCCTATTACATGGGACTCATAACATAAATAGTGAAAAGTGGGTGTTACATTGTACCGTGGCATTAAGTGCCGTAATGTGCACCTCTGCCTACCGCCTCGGGAATAAAAAGCGTGACATTATGTTATTTAGTGAACGGGAATATTTGTAGAAAGAGCTACCTTTTTGAGAAAAAGGCTTGTGCTGTGATATTATTGAATACTAGCGACCCGCCCCGGCTTCGCACGGGTGCAATATGCATGTAATATACATAAAACCTTCCTCTTGAATCACTCTATCTATTAAAAAAACTGCATCAAAATCTGTTGCGTAGTTTCAAAGATTTAAGCATACAAAGGCATGTTGTCAGCGTCTCTTTTCTAATTCTTCTGTTTAAATTTTTCACCTCTTATATTTTTATTACTTCCACTGTCACATCTTGATTGTCTTTTTGATTTTTTATTTATGCTGCATCGTGCCTGGTGCTAAATAAATGTTTTTTTTTTCTTTCTTTCTTTCAAAGGGACATAGGGACAGAGAAAGCGACTTTGTTTTATGCTATGTAGTGATTTTCAGGCTCATGGGACTATTGCTGTGCACCAACACACCGTTGTGGATACAGTGAAGGTTTCCATAAACCATGGTGAGTAGACCAAACCTATACATTAAGGCACAAGCGCTTAAATACCATTAGGCTGTGACAGACAACTGTACAGGCGATTTTATAGAATACTAGCTTCTGCCCGCGACTTCTTACGCGCAATCCCGTTTTCTCCCGTTCCCGTAAGATTTTCAGGACTTTTTCTATTTTAAGAACATTCTCTTAATAATAACAAATACAATAAAAAAAGAAAACCGGTACCTACAGCCATTCACACGTGATGTGGTGACCAGGGGAAAAAGGGATTAATTTTTATATATACAACATGTAACGTAATTAACGCACACCCTCAAACACCCCAATTAGAATATTATGTTATAATTATACATTTAACATGTATATGCATCCTTACTGGTCTTGTCATAAGGTTTATTTTTCTTTTTTTGTATTTAATGATAGAATTTATATGAATAGGTACAAATAAAACTGCGATTTTAAAAGTTTTATTGCTTTGACTTACGGTCCATTTTGATTTGTTTTAACAATACAGGGTTAATATGACAATAATTTCCGTAGTTTTAATTATTTTTGGGATCAATAATTACCTATACTAAAAATTATATAAATCGATTCAGTTAACTATTTTCAGGATGTGCGTTATTTAAGTTACATGTTGTATAGATTTTATAGAATAAATATTTGGCTTGTTTGTTCGTCACCATGTTACCTACGTACCTCGAAAAACTGACATACGAATCTATTTTCCGAAACCACTTTAATAATATATTTTGATATAGGTGCTACGTAGGACCGAATCAGGATCAATGGCGTCCATGCAGTGAGAAGTATTATCCTTACCATCAGCATAAAGTCCCTCATCCCTCACAAGGTCACCAGCATTCACCTGGACGACCTCTGCCACCAGGACATAGGGGTAAGTTCCATCGCATTTTGAAATCAGAGGGCCAAGCACGAATAACTATCGCATTCGTATCGTAACACTATCGAGCGAGTTAAGCGTTCTGATTGGTTGGTTCACTTGAGCCGGCCAATCAGAGCGCTGAACGCGCTCGATACTATTACGTTACGAATGCGATAGTTATTCGTGCTTGGCACTCAGGAGGTCTACTCTGATTCGACGAAAAACGAAGTTTCGGACGAAACTTCAAAGATTACCTACCACAATGACATATAAACGAACGAAAAAGGAATGAAACAAGCCAGAAATTAGTATGAGATGTACTGTTTGACGTCGATATTTTAACCCTACTCTAATTAAAAGTTGTCTATGGTTCCGAAAACGTTGTTTGCGGCCGCAAATCAAACGAAACTTCGCATTCGAAAACCGAGTGCCAAGCACGAATAACTATCGCATTCGTAACGTAATAGTATCGAGCGCGTCCGGCGCTCTGATTGGTTGGCTCAAGTGAACCAACCAATCAGAACGCTCGATACTGTTACGATACGAATGCGATAGTTATTCGTGCTTGGCCCTCCGGAGTAGACCTCCAGTGCTATTCAAGAAGAATTGGCATAAAATAGGAATAGTGGGGTACTCTGATCTGCAGCTGTAGCCAAATGCCTTTGAGCGCTTGTCTACATGTAGAATAGAAAACCAAATTCTATGGGATTGACGTAAATTTTGACACTTGTCAGTGTCATCCCCATACATTTTGATTTCTACTCTCTCTATGTCTATAGACAAGCGCTAAAGTGGTGTTTGGCTAGAGGCCCTGATCTGCAACTGTAGCCAAATGCCATTGACCGCTTGTCTACATGTAGAATATAAAACCAAATTATATGGAATTGACGTAAATTTTGACTCTTGTCAATGTGACTGCCATATATTCGAGTTCCTCGTCAAATAATTACGAGAGTAAGCAGAAAACATAATAATTAATTTAGTTTGACTGCCTCGTTGGCCGAGCGGTCGCAATCGCGACTGCCGGGTAAGGGGTCTCGGGTTCGATTCCCGCGTCGGGCAAAGTATTACTGGGTTTTTTAAAAATTCTCAGAAGTAGCACGGAGTCTGGAAATGTGCCGGTATATGGCAATAGGCTCACCCCGTATTACATGGGACTCATAACATAAATAGTGAAAAGTGGGTGTTACATTGTACAGTGGCATAATGTGCACCTCTGCCTACCCCTTCGGGGATAAAAGGCGTGATGTTATGTTATGTATTTATTTAAGTATTCATTTACTTATTTATTTTTTGAATAGAATGGTACAAATACCAGTTATCATTGTTGTCAGGGCTTGTTATTATCATTAGATCAGCTCAGGGGTGGTAAATCAGATTAAGGCACAGCCGTAGTAAGTTTGATTTTTATAGTTTGTAGTTAGCGTAATCGGGTAGATGACTAATTTTTATTCTAATGTCCGTCTGGTAGATTATTTTAAAAATATTAGACACGTATTTTTTATTTTTTTACAGAAACGAATAGTTTCGTAGATACCTATATTGATTTGAAATGTCGCATGACGTCACTTCTATGTACATTTTATATGTAGAAATGACGTTTTAGCCCCCACTCCTTAACTTTGATTCGTTATATCTAAGTATCATTTTATTATACAACAAAATAAAAAAATACTGTCTAATATTAATTCATTACCTAACTGACGGACTCATTACATTTTTATATTTCATACCCTGTCATCATCTCTATTACTGTAGCGGTTTAATACCTAACTTGGACATTGGTCATAAAAGCTCAAGATTTCTTTGACTGAACAGAATCACACAACAATAAGGGTCTATTTTGTTTTATAAACTTATTCCCACACTAGGATTTCCTCCTGTGTCGTGGGTGCATTTACAAACATACAAGTTCACATACACAATGACACCCAAACCCAAAACAATTTGTGGGTCATAAAAAAGAGCTACTCCGTGCGGGAATCGAACCCGCTACACGTTGTGCGGCAGCCAGTTACCCAGCCACCGCGCCAACCGTGCAGTCAATATCATTGAAAACTATTTATTTTTATTTTTTTTTAATTTCATGTACCCACACCACACAGACAATACAAAGAACGATACATGACAAGCATGAGGTGCATAGGTACTGCATATCCCTTAAGGGATTTCTTCTTGCAGAACTGCGACAGGAAAAGGAAATTAAATATAAGACACAGATTAATAATACATGCAACAGATACAAAATAAAATAACTGAAAGAACTTAAAACTAAAATGACCGGAATGTAATAATAAAATATATACTTAAGCAAATTATAACAAAAATAATAAATAAAATAATTAGAAATATTTAAATACGATTACATATACTATAGTCTGCCTCGTTGACCGAGTGGTCGCAATTGCGACTGCCGAGCAAGGGGTCTCGGGTTCGATTCCCGGGTCGGGCAAAGTATTACTGGGTTTTTTAAAAATCTCAGTAGTAGCACGGAGTCTGGAAATGTGCCCGGTATATGGCAATAGGCTCACCCCCTATTACATGGGACTCATAACATAAATAGTGAAAAGTGGGTGTTACTTCTATGTGCACCTCTGCCTACCCCTTCGGGGATAAAAGGCGTGATGTTATGTTATGTACATATACTTTAGTTCATAGAACTATACGTTCATATTGACAATCAACATCACTATCAACTCCTGTGCTATAAAGAGTGTGTGTACCATTTCAGAAGACATACCACCACGGCCTGTAGGACCTCGTCCCTGGCAGGGACAGCCTGGGTATGACAGACCCAACCCAGTCGGACCACCAGGCCCATATCTGTCGGAAGGCGACAGAAAATACTGGGACGATTTGTACAAGAATGGACCTCAAGCGTATTATGATAAATATGGAAATCCTTTGCCAGGTTTGTTTCAAATTCATTTATGTATTGAACGCAGCAGCCATTTTTACCCAGTTACCATTTTTTTTATGGCATAAGCCGGTATACGAGCAGACGGATCACCTAATGGTAAGCAATCGGCGTCGGCCATAGACACCTGTAACACCAGAGGCGTTACAAGTGCGTTACCGGCCTTTTGGGGATTAGGAGTTTGAGGATCGTTGGGGATAATAACAATTTGTTATCATTCTATTGCTACAATTCCAATTTCATGGTAACTTTGTTTTCAAATGACTGTAAATGACCTAATAATTACCTGACTTAGGAATCAAATATGAGATCCTTTCAGAAGATCAATGTATAGAGTTAAAACAAAGAAAAGCAATGTCCATTACCGCGCGTCTACTAACATGACTCCGCTTTTGATATACAAAGACGTGGCTTTGAAACCACTATCATACCATAACATAACATAACATCACGCCTTTTATCCTCGAAGGGGTAGGCAGAGGTGCACATTATGCCACTGTACAATGTAACACCCACTTTTCACTATTTATATTATGAGTCCCATGTAATAGGGGGTGAGCCTATTGCCATATACCGGGCACAATTCCAGACTCCGTGCTACTACTGAGATTTTTTTTAAAACCCAGTAATACTTTGCCCGACCAGGAAATCGAACCCGAGACCCCTTGCCCAGCAGTCACTAGGCCAACGAGGCAGGCAGTATCATTCCAAAGAAAAGTATATCTATCTCACTCGCTCAAGTCGCAACAACAATAATTACCACTAAGATTAGACAGAGATAAACCATCACAAGTCCCACGTACCATTCAATCAAGAATGCTGTCATTATTGTGAATGTTGAACTATTTGCTTCAAATTGGAACTAATAAGAGACCGCCTCGTTGGCCGAGTGGTCGCAAGTGCGACTGCCGGGCAAGGGGTCTCGGGTTCGATTCCCGGGTCGAGCAAAGTATTACTAAGTATTTTAAGAAAACTCAGTAGTATATGGTGGTATATGGCAATAGGTTCACCCCCTATTACATGGGACTCATAACATAAATAGTGAAAATTGGTTGTTACATTGTACAGTGGTATAATGTGCACCTCAGCCTACCCTTTCGGAGATAAAAGGCGTGATGTTATGTTATGTTAATAAACATACTACTTACATAATACATTTTAAACTTACAAAACTTATACACAATATTCCAAATAAGATAAAAAAAAACTGCCTCGTTGGCCGAGTGGTCGCAATTGCGACTGCCGAGCAAGGGGTCTCGGGTTCGATTCCCGGGTGGAGCAAAGTATTACTGGGTATTTTTTAAAAAATCTGTAGTAGTACGGAGTCTGGAAATGCGCCCGGTATATGGCAATAGGTTCACCCCCTATTACATGGGACTCATAACATAAATAGTGAAAAGTTGGTGTTACATTGTACAGTGGTATAATGTGCACCTCTGCCTACCCCTTTGAGGATAAAAGGCGTGATGTTATGTTATGTTATGTTTATAAAAAAAAACTAAAAATTACTATTTGGGAATAGAGTCAAAAATTGTTCCGCTTCGATGTCAGCTGGGAAAGTACCCAGAAGTCTGGCAGCATTGCCGCGTCGTATGGCAATGCTTAACCTCTGACCGAAGAGGTTTAATACAAGGTGTAGTTTTGAAACCGTGGCATATCCCGGGGGCATGTCACAGAAGTCATAAAGGTTCAATGTAAAAGAAAGTTTCGGGCCAATAGTTAAAAATACGGCTATAATAAATCGTTTAAGTTCGACAATATTTCAGAATAAGCGACAGCAATGTTTCTTATTGGAGTTTTATGGAATTAGGAATAATATCAATTACGTGTTTGAGTTTGTGTGTGTTAAGCCGCGTTATAAAGCTAGTTACAAGACGGCGGCGTGTAGGTCGCGCTTACGGATTTCCGTAATTTATAGAAAAATGAAAAATATTTAATTACAATTTTATTTATTGATTCGGACTCAGAATCGATAACCGAGTTACCTCCTAGAAAATGACGCGGCTTTAAAACAACACCTTGTATAATCTTCCACTTATCTCCTGTATTCCAGGTTATTCCCGAGTTCCAACAGAATCTCGTCCGTACATCAAGTTCACTCACAACCAGCCGCAGCCTGGCACTGGAACCTGGCTGCCAATGTCTCCATCACAAGGATCTGATGGACCGCCTCCTCCAGGGTTGGGAGTACCAAGGTATGTCAATACAATCTCATCATCAGCAACAGCCTATAAACGCCCACTGCTGAGCAAAGCCTCTTCTCACACGGACTAGGTTTGAGCATTAATCACCACGCTTGCTCAATGCGGGTTGGAGATTTTAAACTTATAATTAGAAATTATAAGTCCAGGTTTCCTCACGATGTTTTTCCTTCACCGTTTGTCAGTGGTGTCTAAATAATCTTAGAAAGTACATATAACTCGGAAAAAGTCACATTGGTACTTGCCGTTAGTAGGTTTCGAACCCGCACCCTCATGCATGAGAAGCAGGCGTCTTAAACCTCCGGGCCACCACGACATTTTGATTTGACATTTCACAATACAATCTATTCTATAGTAATCTGGTAAAGTTTAAAAGCTTGATTCTTGATGTATAAGGCAGCAAATGAAACTATACAACTTTGTGACATTTTTGCAATCAGTTTTCGGCTTTATTACACAGTAATGAAGTTGAAATCCGAAAAAACTGAAGTCTTTAACTGCGGACTGAAACTGCTGTAAATTCTCCATTAACGTATGTCCAAATTCATCGCGTTGGTAGTGTTTGTTTCGAAAACAATCATGACAAAGAAACCAAACAAACCTGATTGAAAAAGAGTAACCTATGGAGTTTCTTGCTCGTTCTTCTCCATAGGCTACACCTTGGAATGAGGAAATAGCTTCACTTGTAATTTTCTTTTTGTTGACGTTCAAAAGTGCCATTCTGGCCTAATTGAAATAAATGATTTTGACTTTGACTTTGAAAACCTTAATTAGGTAATAACCAAACAATGATATCCTAAATAAATTATTACGTTTTCGGCTTACTCACGTAATAATTTGACGAGGAACTCGACTAGTTTCAAGCTGTAGCAGCGCGACAGTCGCCGCGTCGCGGGTCGCGAAATGCTGCTCATAAATATGAGCCTCTAGCATGGCTTGAAACTAGTCGAGTTCCTCGTCAAATTATTACGTGAGTAAGCCGAAAACATTTAGTATGTCTCACGAAAGTTACAATAGAAATAATAATATCCTAACTTGATTCACATTTTTAATGCTCTCAATCTTTCCCCAGATACTGGCCTGTAGCCTATCTACACAAAGGTCCACCACCGAACACAACCTATTTTCGTTACAACGAAACCCAACAACAGATGACAACAACTACAGAAATGTACACAACTCCTCGAGAAATATCCACCATACCCCCAAGACCAGACCACACTGAAAGACACAGAGATGAAAAACAAAGAAACATAAGTGATTACGACACTTTAGAAAGTACCACTACAAAAGTCCCACAAAGTACCACAGTAAAAATTATACCAAGTACCACTGAAGTACCAGTAACACAAGAAGCGGTGACTGAAAACATAACTGAAGTTGAACTGGTTAAACCTGAAAGCGTAAAGTTGAATGAAAAAATTAAAGGTATAGATGACAAATTGGACGATTTCTCAAGTTCCATTGAAGTTTTTGACTTAGATGATGTTAAAGGTGAGAAGTTGTCTGATTTGAAAACTTTAGAAGCTGAAGAAAGGCAGATAGAAGAGATTGGGAGAATACTAGCTTCTAGAAGAGGTGGCAAACTGGTTCTAGATAAGCGTTCCCAAAAAGAACTAGAAGCTAAAAGTATAGCTATTGATAAAGAGCTACTAGATTTTAATTTTGGTAACAGATTTAATGTTGAAAGAAGAGGAGTGATACAAAAAGTGAGTAAAGATGAGATAGAAAGAGAAAGAGAGCGAGAAAGAGCAGCAGCTGATAAAAGTTTGGAAGTGAGTGAAACTTCTTTCGTTCGTCCACCTAGAGTTTTATCTACAACTGACAATATTCGCAAAGCTATAGTTAATGGAAAAGTCTTCTATGATGCCACAATAAGAGAACAAAGAGACACATTTTTAAATAATTCTACGAGAAAGAGTAAAAATTTGAGGTTATTAGATGAATCTAAAATCTCTAATCTCACTTCTCCTGCTAGTTATGGTAAAAAAATAATCAAAGCAAGAAATGTAAACCCAGTCAGAAGAGTAAGAAGGGTCTATAGAAAGAGATATAACCCAGAAGAAGTCAGAAGGAGATTGTTGGAAAGAGAAAAGAGTAAACAAGAGAGTAGTACAGAAAATTCTAGAAAAATATAAGTGGTTATTGTAAATTGTATAATTACTCATATTTTTCTTACAGTATTTCTACTTTTTTATAATATGAGTAAAAGTTATAAGCAATAGTATAAGTTATAAGTAAATTAAGCGTCATTTTAAATTTAAAATGTAATATTTTAATAAAATAATTATTATAAAAGGCTTGGTGCTTCCAAAAATTGTCAGTTTGACTTCAAATTTGTATTTAGGTTGAATTGACGATGCGTATTTCGAAATTATAAGTATGAATATTAATGTTATAATTATAAGAATAATATTTATTTTAAAATGTATTGTGTAATTAGTATAAGTAATATAAGTACAATTAAAATTGTATAAGAATATTGTATAAGTGTATTTTATATTTATATTATAATTTATAGTTACCAAATTGATAAGTTACCGCGAAGAAATTGAATGCAATATTTTTTTGTAATAAAGTATTAAAAATCTATATATTTATAATTAGCACTAAGTATTTACTTAACATTTTTATAAGACTAATAAAAAGCATTTCAAATGTATGTTTATTTCATTTTGATTTTTTTTTTTACAAGAATTGTATTGTGAACCTGATTGAAAAAAAAAGTAACCTAGGGGCTATCTTGCTAGGCCCGTGCGTGCGGCGCGTCGCGTTCCGCGCGCGCCTCAAGGAGCCATCAGACCACCACAGATGGGGCCTAACAAGGCTGATGCCGATACGGAGCCGCGGAAGACTTAACGGGTTGCCGGGGCTCCGGTTCGAAGTGCAGGTGTAGGAACGGGGTGGTTTTTAGTCAGTAAGAGTCTGACACTCCCTCCCGCCTCACCCAGGCGGGAGAAGTCATTGGATGATTTTCCCCCCTCAAAAAAAAAAAAAAAAAAAAAGGGGCTATCTTGCTCGTTTTTCTATACAGTAAGTACTGCTTGGTTGGCCGTGTATCGGGGGGTATCGGGTTCGATTCCCGGGTCGGGCAAAGTATTATTGGTTTTTTTTTTAAATCTCTGTAGTAGCACAGAGTCTGGAGTTATGCCCGGTAGGTACTTATATGGCAATAGGCTCACTCCCATTACATGGGTCTCATAACATAACTATTGAAACCAGGATGTTACATTGTATAGTGGCACTGCGTGCTTTAATGTGCATCTTTACGTACCCCTTCGGGGATAAAAAACGTGATGTTATGTATGTGTCTTCTCCGGGAAAGTAGGAAAGTATGTGTCTTTTCCTTCTCCTCTCTGCTCTTGGAAAGAGCAGTTAGCTTCACCAGAGACTAACATGGGACTAACCAATAGACTGACACATTTTTTTTATTTAACGTTCAAATGTGCCTTCCTTTACTGGTTTCATTGGGTACTTTCCTTAATCAAATTTCAATGCAATAAAAATATTAAAAATTAATCACACTTTCACTAATTATTTATTTTATATTTTAATATTTTGCCAGCAAATTTTTAAGCAATAAATATGCTGTTCGACCCTAAAAATAACGTGACGTCACAATACACAATCTCATAAAAACATCATTGAAAACCATAGAGCAACACTTCGCCGGTGGCCTATGTAGAAAACTGTCATTTTTAACAGTTTGAAAAAAAGTATTGAATTTGACTAGTGGGCAAGTATCAAATTGGCTAGTTTCCTAGGTTTAAAATAAATTGTTTCAACTTTTCAATGCAATAAATAATAAAAAAATAATCATACTCTCATCCATCGATTTGACAATTTACCTACTTTTGGATTTTTTCTCGCTAATTGTAAATATCAGTACCCTGTAGAGTATTGTGCTGTGTTTCTGTTTTGTGTACTTAATAAATACATTTAGGAAATAAGTATGCTGTTTGACGCAGAAATATGATGACGTCATAAGTAGCGATCCAATACAAAATTCATAGAAAAGTATCTTCTATTTTTTGACATTTTAATGAAAGTATTGAATTTGACTAGTTGGCAAGTACCCAATTGCAATACTTATTTGACTTTATAGTCAGTCCCGTGCGAAAATTGTATGTGATGTTCCCATTATCATAGACATTCTAATTGAAAGTTTCTAAACCAAAAAAACCCACTGAGATTCTTTCCTAATTGATCAATTTTTTTTTATTTATGGCAAAAGCCGGTAAACGATCAGACGGATCACCTGATGGTAAGCAATCGGCGTCACGCATGGACACCTGGAACACCAGAGGCGTTACAAGTGCGTTACCGGCCTTTTGGGGATTAGGAGTTTGAGGATCGTTGGGGATTCAGGAATTGGGGAGATTGGGGAAGGTAACGGTAACCTCACTCACACGACGAAACACAACGCAAGCGTTGTTACGTCGTTTTTCTGTGAGGCCGTGGTATCACTCCGTACACACTCACACACTTAAAATATACTGAGAAAAGCTCTACTGCTTTCGACTCACAGAGGGCCTCTTCCTTATGAGCAGCGTGCGCGGTCGCGGCGACGTCGCGCAGCCTATTGACCGACCTACATCGCTGCAACCGATTTTAGTTGTTACTGGTAACATGATATTTATTATAAAAATTTTGAACTCCGTCATCGACTAGAATACTGAGACATCAGTCTCTTCATCACAGAACTCTTTTAACTCAAAGTTATTTAGTTTTTGAGGGCCTGCGTGTAGTGACGGCTCGGTAGAACACATTTTGTGTCGTAAAACTGGACCTTTTATACTGCTATCCCAAATCCAAGTGTCGCGGAGAACCTAACGGGTTACCGGGGCTCCGGCTCGACGTGCAGGGGAAGGAACGGGGTGGTTTTTAGTCAGTAAGAGTCTGATACTCCCTCCCGCCTCTCCCAGGCGGGAGCAGTCATTCGATAATTTCCCCCCTTAAAAAAAAAAGGTCCATAAACCAGCAAAGGGTTGTCACTAAAAACATTAATTCGATTTCTGTTGAAAACCAGCAAATTTTCCTAACATTTGAAAGCTCATAAAATTTAATACTTAGTATGCAAAGTGTCCGTTGTTTTACTCCTAAGAACTGCCTACTTTAGATGCTGGCTTCATGTCAAAGGCCCAGGGAGTACTTTTACTTACTTGATTTTCTAAAATGCACTTTCTAGTTGCAGCTTGCACTAGAAGCATAATGCTAAATAATATTGTCATTTCACTTTCTATTTCGTTTGCTTTTGTTTTCTATAACTATATAATTCAATTACGTGGGTGGATTACATTTGATTAGAAAAGTTGATATTCTTATTATAATTGCTTTTTTCTTTTTTAATTTGTTAAGCCAGTAAACGTGTTGACGGACCACCTGATGGTAAGCAATCGGCGCAGCCCATGGACAGCTGAAACACGAGAGGCGTTACAAGTGCGTTACCGTATGAGTCCCATGTAATAGGGAGTGTGCCTATTGCCATAGACCGTTCCAGACTCCGTACTACCACTGAGAAAAGCCCAGTAATACTTTGCCCAAGCCGGGAATCGAACCCGAGACCCCTTGCCCGGCAGTCGCACTTACGATCACTCGGCTAACGAGGCAGTCGTTGCAGGCAATTTTATAAGTCACATTTAACAAAATAACTTATAAGTTATATCGTTATGATACAATTTGACTATAATAATCGTTGCGACTGTAGATCATCGTTAAAGTGGCTACATAACGTTCATAATAGCCACTAACTTGCTATTACTGGAGTTATGATATAACGGAAATCGTGCGTTTGTCCGCCATTTTATTATGTACAGGGTGATCTAGTTCGGGTGAATTTTTCTAATATGTTTATTGCGTTTTATTGTTGTATGGTAATGTTAGAGTAGAATGCGTTATAGAGGTATCTTACCTACCATTTTTACTTTTCCCGCTGGTGTCGTAAAAGCGTCATCATCATATCAGCCACATGACATTCTCTGCTAAATGAGGCCTCCCCCAATGACTTCTAGACATACCGATAAGGGCAATAACCTGAAGCTTGTAAACTGAGTGGAGATTACGGCAGACTCTTTTATGAAACAGAAGAGGACCACCGAAAGAGAAGAGGTGGTGAGAAAGGTTTAGTAATCTGCCTGTAATCAGCTAGTCAATTCATATGTCACGCCTACGAAAAAACAACAACCTGTACACAGGGAAAGCGACCAGAAAAAAAATACATTAATAAAAAAATAAAAGCGTGACAGATAAAATATTATCGAGCGAAAATAATTTGAGCACTGCCCCGCCGTCGCCGGCAAAACATGGAAACGCATAATTGGCCACAATTGCATTACAGACTTTCGCTATGTACTTTAAAACCGCGAACTCGTAAAAGTTTTACGTTAACTTTAAATTTAACGGTTTGCGTTTACATTTTGGTACGTTTCTCTTTTGATATTAATTTTTATGATTTATTTTTTACTAGCTTTTACCCGCGGTTTCGCTCGCGTCACAAAAGGATAGGACCTCCCTACCAATTTTCAGCCAAATCTATTCTGCCGTTCTTGAGTTATGAATGGTGTAACTAACACGACTTTCTTTTATATATATATAGAAGTAAGGATTATTATGTTGTTTCTTGAAAAAGTTAAATGCTTTCGATGAAAGGTTAAGCTACTCTTGCCGCGGTTAATATTTAGATGGGTTAGTTTTCGTTATATTAAAATCTTTTGTTAATGATAACACCAAAGTTTGAATCAGCAAACAATGTACTGTAAGTACATGACTCCATGAGCTGTTTGCATGTGAACATTAGCTCATGACGATACCTAAGTACAAGAGTCGCCTTTTTAAGGGGGACAATCATCCAATTACTTCTCCGACCTTGAGTTAGGGAAGCGTCACCGATTCATGGTAGATGTTCCGCCCACACGCACGAAGCGCTTCGCTTCAAGCTTCCTTGTGCGTACTGCTAAAGAGTGAAATTCTTTGCCAGAGTCTGTATTTCCTGAAGGGTATAACCTGGGAGTCTTCAAGGCCCGAGTGAATAGGTTGCTTATGGGACGACGTGCTCCATTGTAGACCGCATCATCGCTTACCACCAGGCGAGATAGTGGTCAAACGTCACCCCATCAAATATAAAAAAGGGAGTGTCAGA